AACAATGAAACTTAATTTTTTGTTTAATAGCTTAGATTTAGGAATCTCTGAACTTTTTAGGAGTTCTTTACGTTAACTGTGAGCCTTATACATTTATGGACTATTATTAGGACACCGTAATGATTATTGTTATTTCAATAACCAAACATTTTTTTTAACAGATTAGATTTTTAAAGCTCAAAGTATTTTTAGGAGGTATACAAAAAAAAGCGAACAATTAAGGAGAAGGAAACATGTGTTAGTCGTAGATCAAATGCAATTATTGACTATAAATGATTCCTTACTGATATTTTGTACCCGTCGTTCTCGCAACTTTAATCTTTTTATATTGATCAACATCACAAAATCGTATATTTTCTTTGGAATTTTCCCTCGTTTACTTTGATGTGGGTGTAGATCGTACAGACAGTTCCTGTTCAGACATACAGGCATTGCCATTAACGCTCCCAGAGAAAAACCAAAGACAAACTAGAGTCGGCACTTTGAGATTCCATCTGCACCTAATTTATGATGGGGAGAGCTTCTTTTTTTCCCGCCAGCAATGGCAATAAACAGGAGATCCCAGTACGTGAGCAGTACTGCTAAATGAAGTCACGATCGTTCGGCCAAGAAGATCTGTGGGGGATGGGCGGTGGAGGCCCAAGTTGGGTGTGTCCGGCGATCAGCCTCCAGCCGATGGAATCTCACAGAGACGCGGAGCTCAGTGGGTTAATGGAACGGCAAAGTGAGACCGAGGAGAAGTAATTTCCGCTAAACGAGGATCTTCTAAGGCCAGATAGCTGATGATTAATGCATAAATTCATTAACATTTGTTGAGGGTTTGGAAAAGTGTATTTGATTTCGAAACTTTCTTTATAAATTTACTCGCACTTCTAGTTTCAATTTTTGTTTAATCTATACTGTTCTCTAGAATTTACGATTCAGCAAGCTGATCGTTATAACAAGGTCTAATACCCCAAAAGCTTACGAATTGGTTTACCTTTGGTTTACATATTATTTACATTTTCATTATATTTTACCTGAATGGACTTGGATCCTTTTCATTTATAAGTACCCTATGCTACTACTACCACAAAAAGTATTAATTTTTAATATGGGTCCGGCTTTCTTTATTAAAAAAAACTTGTTGAAATATTTAATGGTTAAAAGTTAATTGCAAAAAGCCAATGGTTTTCGGGTGAGGCCAGGTGAAGGGGCAGTGGTAGGGGCACTTGGGGTGGCTTAGTTCAGGGCTCAATGAAACCTGGACTTCATCTCTTTGTGGCAAGTGTCAGTCGAGTTGACTGCCAGTCGTCAGCTTCTCCTGTGCGTTCGAATCGCTTGGCTACGGTCTCGGATTTGGTACGTTGTTGGTCTTGGTTCGACAGCCCAGAGAGCAAAAATAACTTAAACTTTTACTTTCACTGCCAATTTGACTGAACGAACAGGCCGCGTCTCTCAATTTGCATGGCAGCTGAGGGGCAGAAAATGAGGTTTTGGTATGGTATGGTATACATAGTATGGTATTGTATGGTATGGTATGGTATGGCTTAACAATGTTATTGTGTGCCTGTGTCTAAGACTCATTTGCAAATGTATCTGGCGGCAATTTAGCGCTCAGATACGAGTGTGCATCTGCAAGACCCTTCGCCCAGTGCATTGTCTTCGGCCTTTAGTTTAATTTTATTTTCACAACAGCCCCGGCAAAAACATCTTCGGTTCACCTTTGTCCAAGTGTTCAACACACGTGTATTCACATGTGCTGCAATTTGATCGTCACGTCGAGATCTCAGCCGCAGCAGCCAGCAAATGTTGATGATGAGCATTTGATAATAGTGCTTCGCGCAGCAATCTTCTTCTCCGGCTTAACTGATGTTGGACATGCTGCTTAAAGTTGTTTACCCGATTATTCGCATGTATTTCGACTGTCAGGGAAATGGTCGTTGACTGCTCATCAGCTCTTCGATTCGGCGAAAGTTTTTCCAAGTGATTTGAGCCATCCGCTGGATGGGAGGATGGACTTGGGCTTAGTGAGAGGACTGCCCACACAAATGAACAAAGTTATTATGGGTTTAAGTCTTACATAAATAAAATATTCTATTTTATTACCTAGGCTGCATTTTAAGCCATTAAACAAGTAAAAGGATTACTATTTAAAGTCATAACTTAACCTCTACATTTTTGACCATTAAAAAGGTAAAAGGATTAGTTTTTAAAGTTATAACTTAACCTCTACATTTTGATTTCTCAATGTCTTGTAACATTTATCGTTGAGTTAAAAAACTTTCTAGGAAACATTCAGTTTCACAATATCAATTTATTATTTATCTGAAAACTCTTAACTAAAGGTAATGTCCTAGTTAAATTTTTCGGTCTTCTTTTAAGGCTTGCCAAAAAACATTTTAACTCTCGTAAAATTAACATAACATTGAGAAAACTTATTTGTTTTTCCGTAGAACTAAATGTTGTGTTAACTTTATTTGAAGATTATCAACTAGAACCTTAACAAGACATTGAGAAATTGGGATTAAGTTATGTTTGACTTTTTTTACATTAACTCATATATGTTACTAACCAAGTTACGGTTAAAAAACCAAAGTTAAGGCAGCAATTAAAAGCCAATAATCATACAGCGGGGTCTTAGCTGCGCAATGTCAATTTCGATTTTCTCGGGTTAGGTTAGTTGGCCGGCCATTTCGGCCTTGTTCTTAATAGACAAGCGCTTTTTTTGCATACATTTTCATGGCAGATGCATAATTAAGCCGTCGTCCACGGTGCTGTGATATCGGGTTCCCCGGCTGACCGCAGTGACGATGCTAACCTTGCATAAAAAGAATGCAGCTGCGAAGTTCGTTGCCTAAGTCTTTCGTAGGCGGGCAGCTCGGAATTCTAATGAAGGCCGTGGGGCGTGGCCCTGCCAGACTTCACGTAGACGAATGCCTAACGAAAAAATGTAAAAACTAACTTTCTTTCCGGCACTCTCACTCTGCCAGCTTATCTGGAATGTGTTTATCTTGCATCTGCATAAATACAGAGCGATGCGACATCGAGCATTTCATAAGATTTAAATACGTTTTGTTTGAGGCATGTTTTCATTTTCATTCGGCCGTGTTTATGTTGGAAATCTTCCGATCGGTTACACAGATCGCAGTTAAAGACGCGTGTGCCTACGTAATCGACTTGGCACGTCTTTTGGCCAGGTGAAAGACCCCAAGATACGAAAGTCACCCGCGGCGGAGTGCTGACATATTGATGCTGGCTGCCTGTTCCACGGCAGTTCAATGGTAGCAAGGGTAACAATAACAGAATTCGGCTTATATGGTGTGTCACACTCGATTCCACAATTAAGTTGGTAAAAGTCAACAATCTGAGCTGATATACGAAGTGAGATGGGGAATACGAGTGCCTCTATGAATAGATACAATGAGGGAAGGGCCTCGAGATGAGGAAGAGAGATTTGGTTTGAAATTATTACAATTATATCTTTGAAGTTGTAATCAAAACCCACACAACAATGCAAAGTAATGCAAAGAAATCTTAAGATGAGATAGGCGAAAAAATAAACGAAAGTAGGTAAAGTCAAGGGGGTTAACACTTTTTGAACACCTAGAGTTTTTATCAATGTTGTTCTTATAATCCAGGGTAATCCCAAAAAATATGATAATATTTTGAGAGTCTTATAACTTATTTATAAAAACATTGCGGGGCAAATTTAAATACGCTTCTCGAACTTAGAAATTCCTTATTAGACTTGACATACTCCATTTACCCGAGTAATCTTCAATTAAGTGCCAGCTTCGTTGTAAGAAAATCAAATTCAAATTAAGATTCCGACCAAATCTTTGCCTCGGCCCCCGGCTGTGCCGGCAGGCCATAAATTTGATATTCAAAGTAAATTTTCAATTTCTACGCGAATAGATATTTCCATAAATAAACCGCATAAATCAGAGCTGGGGCCGTAGAGCTGACAGAGCTCAAAAGCGAACTCGGCTCATTAGTAATCAAAAGCTGTGCAGCTCCCCAGACCGAGAAGAATTCGGGGATCGGGGGCCCGAGGCAGCGGAGAACTGGAGAATAGGAGACAGGCTCTGAGACACGGCCATTGAATTCTGGCCGAGAGCGGAGACTTGCACAAATTGTTGCACAAGCGCGGACCAGTGATTCGTGGGCCGTAAGTGGCTGCTTGCCACTGGAGCGATGTCGCCAACGCATGGAAGTCGCCTCCAGCTCCTTACAGATCACACAGAGAAAAAAATTGATGGGACATGATGCTCATTTTGATGAAAATTAGTATCGGTTCTATCTATAGAACTTCCAAAAGTTACAAAAACTGCTTTTTTGCTCTTACCCAGATTAATTTTAGGCTATTTCTCGCTCTTTTTTCTCGATGACAGTATTTTCCAGGGACCGATCCAGTTATAAATCATTTGTTAATCATTTAATTATTGGAATAAACCAAAACTGCATATTAAATAATATTGCTGTTCAATTAATTTAGTTAATACCTGATAGTCATTGAACACAAAACTGAGTCATTCAATGATTTTTCAATGATCTAAAAATAATACATATTGAAAGCTACACATTTTTATGCTCAGTGTACTCTCTGGGGACCGATAGCCAAGACTCTCCAGACCACCGAGCACAGAACCCCTGTTACCTTGTTGACTTTGTCTTAATGGCCATTTTGGTTGTGTTGCTCTGTGGCAATTTAAATATTTTAGCCATTTCATTTTGAGTTTTATGCTGCTAGTGCCGCTGAGCGGCAAAAACACTCGAGTGTCGCTTGTTGAGCGTTAAAAAAATCGACAGAAATTTCTACTATTTTGCATTTGACCAGTGGTCACTACTTTACTAGTTTACAACATTTTTTCAAGCTTTTTCCCAACAGTCTTGATGTTAAGTGGAATTGTGCCAGACAAGAAAATCCAAAAAAAATACTTACGACTTAACAAAACATTTTGAGGCATGTTAAAAATATTTTAATGTAATCATAAAGTATTGAATAGATGTTGATTTATATTTGTTTACAATGCTTCCTTAAGATTTATTGGTGGTAAATAAAATATTAATAATAATAAAAAAGTGACCAAGTTATAAGGCTTAAGGCTTCGTTTTTAATCAAGTCTCGGCTCTTTTCACTTAACACCTTTGGTTTACAAAAGGCATAAATATTATTAATTAATTAGCAAGTTTATCAAATGCTACACATGACTGAATACGTTAATAAATAAAAGTTCCAGTAGCAATTATGAGAGTCTCATGAATAATAAATTCCATAATGTATTTTTGTATTTTGAGATTTGTTAAATATATTAGCGTAGTAGCAAATAAATATGGATACAAAAGCTAAGTAGGTTTTAGGAGTGTTTATGTATAATTTGAACGTTTTAGTTGCCTTTGTTTGAGGACTTTTTGACCTTGATCTTGGTTCCGCCCACCGATGACTTTTTGCGGCCATTTAACTTGGCCTTGTTGGAGGACAATACGGCCGGTTTGGGTTTAACCACCCTGGCCTCGACCCGAATGTAAAGGTCATAGTTGAAGTCGCCACAAGTCTTGCCTAATGAAAAGAATTATACAAGTTGGGATTACAAATATCTAGCTCTACTTTGCACATTACCACAACACATTTCCTCGCCGCAGGACTCACAGGTCATCAGTCGAGTTTCCACAATGCCCGATTTGTTCTTGATTTTCTTGACACAGTTGTTCAGAGCGAACTCCCTGCGATCCCTGGCCTCCGTTTTTAGTTCCAGCTTTCCCATCTCGACCATCCGGCTGAAGTACTCCTCCTCCTGCTTGTTCTTGGGCCTCAAGGTGGTCAGCATCTTCCAGTCGATGGGCACGGCGCACAGTTCCATCAGCACCACGTCCTTCATTTCACTGGGCACGGGATCCGCATAGGTGTACAAGGCCTCCCGTTCCCCATTGGCTCTCATCAGCTTTCGCATCTCCTTCTTGGGCATCTTGAAGGCGTAGTCCTTCTCCCGGATCTTTATCTCCTCGGCGCGCACCTTCACCGGCCGCATCTTGTAGTCGGGCACCTTCTCCAGCAGCCGCTTGAACTCCTCGACGGTCTGGATGTTGCTGCGACTGAGGTCCAGAACAGGGACCACCGTCTTCTTTTTGCCCAGGAGGTCGTCTAGTTTGCTCATTCTGACGGCTGATACCTATTTAATAAACTGTTTAATCAATATATTGAAAATATATGTATTTTAGAATGAAAGTGCTCATAAAACAATATGAAATATGGGATTCGGCATTCCATTCCATTCTTAGTTTCAAATAATTAATAGTCCAGAAAGTAAACTTAAGTTTCATATTGGGTTCCCAAAATATTAATCTTCCCTTCTCTGCATAATAATTTGAATTATTAATAGTCCACTAAGTAAACAATAATTTCATATAGGGTTTCAGAAATATTAAACTACCTTTCTGTTCCATTACAAAACATGTATTTTCATCTATCACAGGATCATTAGATATTTTAATTTAAATTAAAAGAAACTTACTTACCTTTGTTCAAATAATACTATTAAGTGGTAAAGATTTAGTTACTTTTATATATTTTGCCAAGCCACAACTTCTTCACCTGTGAAATGTCCTTTGTTAGTATTGATTAAACATTGCCGGTTGCCTAGCATTTATGCTCATCCCATATCAGGGGTTTTCTCTGCCAGCTGACTGACCAACATTCCTATTCTCTCTTTCCAGATCCACGAACAACTCCATCACGTGCCGAAGCCACAAGTTGTTGATAAGTCAGTGGGCAAACAACAAATACGACCCGAAGACCCAAGAAACCCGTCGAGAGACCGAAACAGAAACAGAAATAGAAACAAACAAACCCAAGACTCAAAACTCTTGGCTGGCATTTCATTTGCCTGGATCGCGTTACGTGGTGCGGTTGGTGTTTCGTATACTCGTCTGCCCGCCAAAAAGAAAGTCACGACAGAAACGAGATTTCCAAGATTCTGCAACGAAAGTCAAAGTTACAAGTTTACTCCAAATTCGAGTCTTTCGGCCCGGTTCAACGTATTGCCACTTTCGGGTCTCCGTCTCCAGTCTACAGTCTTCAGTCTTCAGTCTTTTTTCGGTGCCTCAGTCTCCCCGTGTGTGCCACTTTAGAAAGTGAAAATCGAGTGCAGTCCGCAACTTTGTCTCAATCTGAATCGAAATCCATCGGCGGCCTTTGGGCGCTGCAGTTGAAAGTGAATTTCTTGGGCTGCAAGTGATTTTCGGGTTTCGGTTTTCCATTTTCTGGCGCTCAATTCATCATTATCGATCAGTAGCCCGGGGCTTTTGGCTACTTGAGTCCACTTCACATCCATCGACAGGAGGGCCCGGCGAATAAGTGCAGCAACCATGGAGGCCGAGGAAGTTACCAAACTCGTCGACGGCGTGTACAGGGTAAGCCTTTTCTTCATTATTACATCATTTTGTATTTGTTTTATTAATTAAAACGCTATATGAGCGGTAAATTGAAGAATGAACTGGATGCTACGGAAAGTGCAGGCATTGTAGAGGGTCAAAATCATTATAATAGATATTAAAAAATATTATTAAGTTGTTAGTTTAACTTCTTGAACAGCCTTCTTATTATTATTGCAACATTTTGTGTTTGTTTTATTAATTAAACTATTCTATAAATTGGAAAATTGCCGAAAAAATGGATGCTACGGAAAATGTACAGGCATTCTAGGGGTCACAAACATTATTACAGATATTAAAAATAATATTTCGAAGTTTTCGATTTGATATCTTGAATAAAATGCTCCAAGCAAAAACGATTATTTATGGATAATGGTAAAATCTAAAAGGTTTAAATTGGAAATAAATTAAATATATTAAAAAGGCCTATTACCATCAAAGTCTATTATATATTTGGCTTACAACACCTCTGGTATTACGAATTCAATCGTTTCATAAGAATCTTTAATTCGAACCCCAATTACATACCTATCATCTTTCCATGTGTTTGAGGGTCGAATCAAAACTTATGTAATCCCACTGACACCTAAATAGCAACGTAACTATTGCATGAAGGCCATTTCTATTAGCCACTTGAGACTAATTCACCGTAAGGCTCATAGCGATGTTTACCCTTTTGGAAAACAATTTATAACTTAAACGTTTTCTTTTTGTAGACTAAATTTATCGCCACACGCGATCTCCAAAAGCGGCTGCAAATGAAAGCAAGCCACATTAATCTATAAAATGAAAACACAAAACCGTGACTTGAAAGTTTACTTTGGATACCCTTGAAATTTGCCGAATTTATATTTATGGATATAAAAAGTTTATTAAGAATGTGTGCAATAATAGTTTTTAAAATGTTAAGGTAATTTGGTTTTAGTTCATAAACTTTATGCTGGGATGTTTTTTTTAATTAGTTAGAGTATCTTGTAAACGTATAATTGAAGTATTCTTTTGTTTAAATAAGGAAGATAATGAGAACTTGCAAAGTAAAGATTATTATAAAGATAAAAGCCAGGAAAAAATACCAGCTAGAATGAAAACATGCATTTAAACGCTAAGCCGGTTTTTTTGAAATAACATTGTATACATTTCCTAAATATCAGTTAGTGAAACAAAATAACTAGATACGGTAACAACCTTAAGCCTTAGCTTTAACTACCACTCTTAAGGAGTGTTTAAATCATAACCAGAAACGGAGAACCATAAATATTTGTAGATAAAAATGGCAGGCAGCATTTGAAAGTGAATTTTTTCTTGTCGGCTGGGCTGCTGTAAATTCGTAGCCAAATTTGGTCACGACACACGGTGGCTGTGTTGTATCTTTCGGCATTTTTTTTGGCTACATATACATCGCCTCTTAGAAACCCGTATATCCCAGCCGAGCAAACGAGCTCAATTGGAGGTTTGATTTGTTTGTTTGCGGATCGCCTGGAACTCTGAAATCCTCCCAAGTCGACGACAGACGCGACGACTCCGCCTCGAGAGTTTGGCAAGTTGCGGCTTCTCTTTTTTTTCCTCTGCAGCGGTTGCATCTGCCCCAAGTTGATGGGTATTGCACATTTCGCGCATCTATTTCATTATGTAACTTGCTGAATTTTTTTTTTGTTTTGGGAAAACTTGCTGTTGCTGGTTGCTGCTGCTGCTGCTATTTCTGCTGCGGTTTCTGCCGCTTGAAGTTGCGGAAATTTTGTTTTTGGGCCGCTTCCTTGGTTGTTGCACATGGCTGCATTTTCGCGACCACCATTTGCATTTTTCCCGCCTGGGTTTTTCTTTTATTTTTCGCACTGTTATTGTCGTAAATCGAATAAATAGGTGCTGCCGTGCCGGCTGTTTTAATTAGTGGGCTGCCTGCCGCCACATGACAAGCCCGGGTGCAAACGAAAGACTCAGGAAACGAACTCGCTGGCTGTCAATGGCAGGAAAAACAGGGAATTCGAATTGGAATCTCAGTGGTCGTGCATCAATCAACTGAATCTACTTCCCCAACACACACACACACCAGATTATGACTTAATTCCCGGTGATTTATGCGCAATTTGCTTGACTGCTCTGGCTGAACTGGTCTATCAATCGATTTATTATATCAACATTCGAGTTTTACATTTTTTATTGTTTTACTGCATTTATTGTGCTTGGGTTCGCATAATAGAGTGGCTTGGTTTTTCTGTCTTGGACTGTGTGAATTAACTTCTGGGTTGGTCCGTGTAGGTTCTTTAACGGGTTTTAATTAATTCGATAGCATTCGGTTTTCGGCTGGCTATTCTAAACTAATTAAAAGACCGCTTTTGCTTATCTTTTTTAAGAGTCGCAACTTGGCCTTTCTAAAATTGGCATACTTAAATGTTTTAAGAGGGTTTCCACATATGCGGGTATGCAAATAGAGCAGGAATGTTCAAATTTACTGGTCATTAACTAGTGATTGATATCGGCGAATTTTAATTTATTATCTTGTGCACTTGAAATATATTTATATCTTTTTACAAAACCTCTAAATTATATGTTTTGGGCTGTGGTCACAATTTATTGTTATTTTCATTGGATTTTTCATGTTAAAAATGATTAATTTAGATACCTTGTGTATTTAAATGCTTATATAATTTACCAACTTCGTTGTAATTTATGAAAATCGCTGAATTTTTTGCGCGCACTCGTAATAAATCTTGTACTCCATTCAGCCATAAATCTTGAATGGCAAACGAGTAAAGTTGGTTAAGAGATGTACTCGCTTTCACTTTCCCTATTTAAAGAGCAAACCGTTTTTAATGATTCTTTTAAAGATGCAAATACCAAACTTTAAGCAAAAAATGAAAGTAATATTAGTAAAAATGATTTTCGGTTGTCTTTGTGAGTCATTTTGGTAATTTTTGGTTTATTGCCCATAAAATGATCCCACACACAGAACCCCTCGAAATTCCCCAATCAACAACTCGCTCTCCCCTCACGGGAATCCATATTATTTTTTCGAGTGAATTAAACCGCAAGTTGGCCCGTCAAGTCGATGTTAAAAACGCATTTCATACAAACAGCTGCCAGCGAAATGACGGTGGCGATGAATGCCTCCGGATTGTTTGTCATTCGCTTAGATTTATGGCACATTCCCCGCAACATAAATCGAAACTGAAGCCGCCGTGAGAGCCTGATGCCGGTGATCCGATCAGAATGACATCCAGCTGACCACACAAAAGCCAACCTGCTGGGGGCAAAAAAGTAAAGACACATAAAGACAGGCTGGCTGGAAGGAGGTGAAGCCCCTCAAGAGTTTGGCACCCAGCGAGGTGCAGATACATAGATACATAGATACACATGGTACATGTAGTGGGACGAAGGTGTCCGATGTGCCGAAGCTCCGGCAAGAAATAAATTAAAATCGCAGACGGTCCGGGGGTTTGGATTGGAGCTGTGAAAAGAGGCGGCAAGTGTGCAACTCGGACCAAAGAACTGCAAACTGCAAACTGGGAAATGGAAAATGGAAAATGGACTTGGGCACTGAGGACTGCAGCTGATTGCCATGTTTGAAAGGCATTTCTAAGGCTGCTGCTGCATTAGAGGGGCCGACGCCACTCGGAACGATGTCACATCGTCTGGGTTGGATTGAGGGGATCGGATCCGGGGGACGGGGTACGGATGGGCTTGGGCAGGGGTATGACCATGGCAAATGGAACTGGGTTAACGTCCGACTCGCCGGCGAGAAGCCCTACCAATCCCGGTGGGTCCATTTCTCGTGTACCCTATCTGAAGGGATTGCACCGGGTTTTCTAAACGGTTAAATAATATTTATTCAAATATTTTGGGTGGCGAGACTATCCTTATCTGATATTATTATAAATTCTACATTGGCCGAAGGTAATACATTTTTTATAAGATCAAATTTGTTTATTGTGCCCCTTTTTTTATTCTTCTATTTTTTAAACGTTTAAGCTACAAAAAATTAATACATTTTATATGTCCTCAATATATCATATCTAGGAAACACCATTTCGAGATAAACGCTTTAAAAGATATCTAGCCTAGAGGTCGAACTTATACATTTCTAGAAGATAAGAGATAAGATAAGATGATACAAATTGTACTTAACGTATATATATTACTAAACGAATGTGAATGAATGAGTGATATGAGCCTTTTTTACCAAATTTAAATAATTCCCTTTAAACTCTGTGAGTCAAAGTGAATCAGTTTTTAAAGCCAACCTATGTTAACGTAATATATCTTTACTTTAATCCGTTAGTGGAAAAGGTAGAGCCCATATATTTCGCCCATCGTCTAACAACTTGCCATGTCCTGATCCCATATATATCCCTATCACCAAGGACATCTGGTCTTCGCTTAGACAAAATTACAATTTAATTTCAGCTTTTTTTCCAAGTGCCTGGGAAGAAGTCACGCAAGCGAGAATTATTTACGTTTAGCATTTTTCACGCACTTTGCGTTCATCTGTCAGAGAGTCGGGGTCTTGAAAAGGGGGGCCTTACCACTCCCATGTCCCCCTGAACCCCGACCCCTGAAAATAAGGCGTGACTGGTTGCGCCTTGACGCCTTCGTTGAGGTTTTGTCAACAGTTGACTTGGCTTACCGACTCCGTTGAATTGTTGCTGGCAAACCTGTTGCGTGTTGCTTTTTGCATTTGTTGGTTTCTAATTGGCATAATTGCGGTTTACTGTTGTTGCCTGGGCCGGTGCTGCATTCTCGCATGCTCTGAAGTGGGTGTGTCGCTCGCTGGCGTCGCTGAATTATGGCCTAACCCGCGAGAGACTCTCCAAAAGCCACCTCATTTCCCTGATCCACACTAGCAATACTACACCGGAAAAATATAACGTATAGTAAAACAATACAATAACATTTTAGATGTTATTCCATAGATATTTAACGATTTAAGATGGTATTCCATAGATATTTAACGATTTAGAGCAATCAATTTTAATTAATTTAATTTTTGTTTTTTAGTTAACTTAATGGTATAACTCTAGAGATTCCCTCAAATTGACTATTATCATTATGTCACGATTTAATTATTATTCAAATCAGCAGTCGACGACCTCCAACTAAGCGGGTATACTAAAAAGGTCTGTTGGTTATCTGCCGCCACACGTACAGTGTACATAGGTGTAGATTTTGGGTAAAAAACAAAAACTTAATAACATATATTTATTTGTTATATGTATGTATAGGGTTTATGAATATACCTATATTTCTCAAGAAATCTTTATACAAGTAAGTCTCAAACATATTAAAAATCCCTATACTTTTGACATATGTTTATAATATTTTTCGGATTTTAAACAAATTAGAACGGATATATCCTCTATCAACAATATGTTGTAGGTATGTGTAGGTTTTATGAATATACCTATATTTATCAAGATATCTTTATACAAGTAAGTCTCAAACATATTAAAATCCCTATACTTTTGACATATGTTTATAATATTTTGGGATTTTACCTTTAATTAGTTTATTCCTAAACCAAATTAGAACGGATAAATCTAACTCTATCAACTGTATTAAAAAATTAAAAAAAGGAACACAAATGCTAAGTAATTCTTTTCTCTGTGTACCGCCCAACATTCCGCGTGGTTGCCTTTTTAAGTAAAGGGGAGGCTTTCGTGGTATGCTTTGCATTTAGTCTCTGTTTTAATTAAAAGTAAATTATACATGTGTGGCGCTCAGTGGTGGCGATTTATGTTAAGCGACGATTAGAGACCAAGTCAGTTGGATTTGGGCCTGGGCTTTCAACTGGGGATTGGGATCTGGCTACAGAGTACTGAGTACTGGGTACTGGGCAAGACTACCTCAATTAATTTTGGGTTAAGTGTTGTCGGTGGGTCGCAGATTCGCGGGCGTGATAAGCGATTGCGTCAGCTTTAATACCAAGAGTGGGTGAGGAAGGAGAAATGTTAATTGCTGGATCGAACGAGCGGGAATTTGTTAAGCAGTTAGGCCAATTACACGAACAGATAGTCATCGCACTTAAAGGAAACCTGATATGTAGGTACTTTTGTTTTTTAATTGCGAGTTTAAATCTAATGAAATAGGATTAAAAGTATTCAGGTTAGAGTTCGAAATAATGTTTTTTTCCAAAGTTACCAAAATCGAAATTACAAAAAAAATTAGCTTTGTTATTGATAGTGTTAAAAATCTCTTATAACAATTTTGCCCTTAACAACTTTGCTTTGTTCATTGATTTTATAATCTGTCCTCATAATTACTCCCAAGGGTATAATCATTTTACGGACCCAAAGGTAAATCCCAAGTAGATACTCAGAGTTCAATCCGAAAACACTGATTGCATTAACCACAAAATGTGTTTACCGCATAGCGTTGAGAAACGAAACAATTAACATTGATAAACCCATAAACGCTGAGCCCCAAAGGTCTTCGAAAACGCACTTGAGTCCACGAAGTCACTTGACTATCTGTACGTGTTATTAAAGTATCTTTATCAAAATTAAATAAACTACGCTGAGGTCAGCAAAGTCAAGTATACTTGGGTAAAATAAACATTAGAAGATACACCGAAATGCAGGGTTTTCTTACAGCAGATGTATCTGTATCTATGAGTGCAGTTTTGAGCTAAATCAGCCAGCTAGTAGATCATAAAAGCAAACACTCGGGCAAGTTGAATCGTAAAACGGAGACGACCTTGGCGTTGAGTATCCAAGTATCTGAGTATCTACGTATCTAAGTATCTAAGTATCTAAGCTCGATTCATTCCCACGCCTTGCTGCCACATTTGTGGCCAATAAATTTAGAAAAGCAAATATGTCGAGGCGTAAACATTTGGCAATAACCCATGGCATAAACGAAGCGAACTGTTCCGCACAGAATGCGTTGTTTACATATGTGTTTTTGACATTTTGTTGCTAATTACTTGGGGGCCAAATAATTCAGTAGTGCGACTTGAGTGGCAGGCTTTTTATTATGGAGGACGGAAGTGATTGGTATGTATTGCTATTCAATCCGCAGAACAACAATCAATTATACTTACCCGAAATATCGGATAGTTTCTAAAGAATATTTAAAAAGTTTGACTTTGGAACAATGCAGACGCTTTGTGGCCAAAGAGAATTCAAATTTTTTCGGCGTTTGTGTTTATTTGGGCTTGCGTGTTAAGTGTTCGGCATTGTCTGGGCGACAACTCAACTTTTGGCCAAGCCCAGGACCAAAGTGTTTCTTTGTCGTTATTTATGGTGTTTTATGGTGTCAACACGGCGGTGATGTCAGCCTCCCTTCCACATGACTATCCATTCACGTCATCCCGACGTATTGCATCTCACCTCAAAGCCCGGTCCCGATGTGTATGCAAATCTGTACTCATGTGCCAAGTTGTTAATTAATTGTCGCTTTGCTGTTCATCATTTTGCATTTTCCGAGGCCCTCCACCTGAGATCAATTGATTGATAATAGGTATGACTCATTCCCAGATGGTGTAATTCGTATTTAATTAGATTTGCTTAGGGGCGAGTTCTGTGGATGATAAATAACCTAAGGCCAAAGAAATATCAGGGGGTTTAAGTTCATCGATGATTGATGATCATAAGTGTTGGATGAAAAATGAAATTTTCTTATTCCTTTTGACTTTTAATTTTCATACGACTCCCATAACATGTTTTAATTTATCTTTTATCTGTTATTTGGCGATGAGTTTTAGAATTCTCAATGGAAAACTAGGTTAGATCCAGTTAAATCTAACCAAGTTTTCATCTAGTCTAAAACGGGTTAAGTAATAAACCATAAAACTGAATGGAAGTCTTCCTCATTTGTTGTTAAGTAAAATTTTACTACAGGCAGTAAAAAATGCAACCAATAAATTCCAACTTTATTTTTGCGCACTACGTTAACCGAACAGGTTTAACAATGCTAGGACAGGTGATATAATGCTTGGAGAACTGGTTAATATGGATCACGTTTCCAGAATGTACATGAAATGGCTATACAATTTTATGCCTTGAAATAATAGATTTTTCCGGCTGCCAAAATACCAAAAACTATCAGGTTCCCTAGCAAAAGAACCGCTAGTGCTGAAAATGCATTTACAAGCCATGTTTGCTGATATGCCAGATAACTTTCATTTACATTCACCGCTACTAAATCATAGATGAGAGATTACTAAATGAGCAATTAGCATTACGATATGTTCAGTTGGATACACGGAACTAATGGTGTCGCTGGCTGACCACAACATTGTCTCAAATCAACTTATACAACCCGACTTTTACTGCCCGCGGCAAACCGGGGAAACCATTACCAACTTTGAGGGGGGGAAATGTTTATGCCTAATGAAATTGAAATGTTGGTGCATGCTGGTCCGTAAATTACACTTAATTAACCACATCGTATGATAAGCTACTATATCGTATGTGAATATCAGAGCTAATGACTCCATCGATCTCCTCACTTGCAGAACATACTGGACAGATTCAATCCGGGTGCCAGGCAACTGATCGCGGCGGGCAAAAGTTACCTCAAGGCGTTGCACGGTGAGTTCGAGTGCCATGTTGTATATGTAAAGATACACACAATATGGTAACACCATAATCGACTGCTGCAAGTGAGTACTGTTAACTAATTTGCAATGCATTCCGTGCCATTTCATGCAACAGGTGCCGCAACCGCCTCGCGTCTATTCAATGAAGCATTGGCCAAGATTGCGATGAACGCCCAGCAAAGCGGAACGGGCGATATTGGTAAGACTCGAAACCCACTCGAGACCCCAAAGCCCCCACAAAAACCACATTTGATCTTAACTATCCTTCCATTCCGTTCAGGTTCGGCTTTGATGAGCGTTGTGAATGTCAACAAGGAGATACAGGAGCAGCAGATGAATATTGTAAGTAATATTATCATATGAGGGTATTACCACTTAGAGAACCACTAACTTATAAAGCTATTTAAAATGTTGCTCTCTCCTAAAGTCAAATTATTAGTTCTAACCTTTATATTTTCACTTTTTCTAAATTTTGTTCAACAACAAAAGGTTAGAATATTTTTATAAATATTTATAAATAAATAGATTGGTTCTTGTATTTTATATTGTCATTTTTTCAACTCTTTACAAATGTTCGATAGCATACTTAGAAAAACATTTTAAAATTAAATTTGTTTATATTTTAGTTGAAATTACTTAACCATTTAGAGCCTCTATATAATTATTTTTATAATGAACTTGAGATACAAATATTTTTTAAGTTTAAAAGTTTTTAATCTAACCTTCTGACTTGTACTCTTTCTGGATATATAATTTGTTCAATAATTAAATTACAATATCTTAAATAAAATGTATACAGAAAAAGATTGGTTCGAATTTTGTGTGAATTATTAACCAATGTTCGACGATATATAACATCGTTTAAAAATTAAACTTGATTGTATTCCAGCTGAAAGCCTTCTACGTGGATCTACTGGTGCCATTGGAGACAAATCTGGAGAAGGACACGAAGGTGGTGCAGCATGAGCAGAAGAAGTTCCTGCAGCAGCACAAGGTGCGAATGGAGAGCTACCAGAAGGCGGTCTCCACGATGAAGAAGCAGCGCAAGAAAAAGGCCACGCCCGAGAATACCGAAAAGGAGCTAAGGGTGAGTGGATTATAATAACACAAACGATCCGAAGAACGGGCAAAAAACTTCACTTTCCCACAGAGCCTTCAATTGCTCGAGGATCAGAAGAAGAAGCTGGATGTGTTCTGCGATCAGAGCTACAAGAATGTAAGTTCAATGGCTGCTAGCCGAAAATTGATCCACACATTACACAGAAAAAAAAATTTTTTAAATTCGATTTTAATGTTTGGTGTTCAATCTTAAAAAAAAAAATTTAATTTGGGAATCATAAATACGAAATTTAAGTATTGATTATTTTATTTAATTTATGATAAATATAAAATATATGATCATGTTCATCTTAATGGGTATTTAAAATGTGAATTTTAAGCCTGCTTCTAACCTTTCATCCGGATGAAAGCCGGCATTAAAGGTTTCTTGTTATACTTTTTTAAATCGTTTTTTACACATAATTTTTACACATAAAACAACATTCAAATGAACCGAGAAACTAACCAAAATGTATTGCCATGAATAATTTTTCCCACTTCCGTTCTGGAAAAAGGCCATGACACAGGAGCGCCGACGATATGGATTCGTCTTGGAGCGCCAGTGCTCGATCGCCAAGCACTGGATGGCCTACCACACCACCGGCAAGACGGTAATTGATAATAATTTCGAAAATTGGCAAGAGATTGCCGCTTCTCGTGAGATCATTCCCCCGGCCGCCTACGAAAGTGGATACAGCAGCAGCAACGGCCACAACAACAACAGCGGCAACATGCGACGCCTGGTGAGTCATCGCCCCAACTCCCCATCTCCGCCCATTATAATCCCAACCGATCCCATCCGATTGACCGCTAACTACTCAGTTGGCCCTCCGGATCTTCTATTTCCCGTAAAACAAGAAACAGCAGTACCATTGTATTACCTACATGAAATTCGGTTTATCAAGAGCTGGGCTACATTACAAAAAAAAGTCTTTCAATGGTGTTCGAACCTCTTCCACTTTATTTCTAACAAAAATAATTATGGTTATCTTCAAAAAGTCTCCTTAGTTTTAGTTGAAAGAAAATGGTTAAAGAAGTAAATGTTAGGTTAAGTAATCAATTTAAAAATGAATTTATTATTTTGCAGTTAAATTAAAAATGTGTTTGTAGTCCTATCAACTCAGTTAAAGTAACAAAAGTCTAAAATATTTTAATTTAGTTACACATAATTGGGGCGAAACTTAATATACAACAGTGAATAAATTTGATAAAATGGTTACACAATAATATACTTTAATCAAAATACTGTTAAGATCACAATAATATATATATAACATAGTTACTGAATCCATGCTTTCTGTTCCTTAGGAGCGGATTAAGGACGGCGAGGATGATCACCTCCAGAGTCACGGGGCGCAGCTGAAGAAGTCGCGTAGCATCGACGCTCCCTATGGTGATATGCGTACCCTTCACGAGCGGGAGAATATTTCCGGAATGGGCGTTACTGGGGCCTCGCACTATGCCCAAAACTCTCTGCCACGTGCCAAATCCGACTTCAATCTGGCCTTAGTTGGCACTGGCCAAAGTTCAGGTGCGAATACCAGTTGGTTTATATAGGAATCCTATGAAAAATACATATGTATTTGAATAATATCATGTTTAATGATTTCTATGATTGGCAGGCAACAAACATAAGATCATCGAGGAGCAGCTGGCCACTTTGGGTGACGATCAGCGCGGCGACCAGCGTCCCCTGGTGAAGGCCCTTTATGCCTACATGCCCTCCGGGGAGAACCAGTTGTCCTTCGAGGAGGGCGACCGCATCGCTCTGGTGGGCGGCAAAGCCAAGGGCTGGCAATTCGGCGAGAATCTGCGAACGCAGCACTTTGGCTGGTTTCCGGTGGCCTACACTAATGCGGAAGTCGCAGAGGCGACCACTTCCGGTGGCCGGCGATACGAGAACATGCTGATGGGCTACGAGCGGAATGGAGGCGGCTCGGGTTCCGGATCCGGGGGAGGTGGTCTGCGAAGCTATCAGCAGCAGCAGCAGCAGGATTACGAGGCTCAGCTGGAGCTGATGGAGAACCATGAGGCAACATACAGGCGGCGAAGGAACCACAGTGCCGAGGAGTCATCGCCCACAAGGATGTTCGGCGACACCATCAAGCAGCAGAAGAAGTACCGTCCCGGCTCGGGAGCCAATCCGCGTCCGGGTCCACCACCCACACTACCGGCTCCGGTGCCAAATGGACAGCAAAGTCAATCCTCCAGGATGCTGAACAGCTCGCAAAGCTTCTGCGCCTCCAACGGAGGAGTCACGGCGGCGGTGGAAAGACGCAAGCAAAAGCTGCTCAATGGAGTCCAGGTAGGATTTATTTAATCGGTGCTTTAAGTGACCCTAACTAATGATCTTGTTCAGAGCTCCAAGAGCCATCCTTCGGGAAAATCAGGAGTGGCGGCCAAGACCTCGCTGCACAGCAGCAATGACAGTGGATTCGCCAACGAGCCACCACCACAGCCGGAAGTAGACTATTCTGATGAGGAACCAGCAACACAACGAGTGCCCATTCGGTAGGTGAAGCTATAAAGGATTATACACTATAAGACGGGTTTTGTTGTTAAAATATATAACAATGTGTGCTCAATGGACCATTTCTAAGGAATATGTTCTTTGTATAGGACCATTTGTAATCTCTTATCAATAATAGGATCCGTCTTTTAGAGTATTATCAAATTTTACTAAAGATGCTTGGAGAGCAGGAATTTGAGTTTTTTTATAAATAACTTACGAAATAGTATCATAAACACACCATTCTAAACTGTTTCTATTGATAGATAAAATGTATATATAGTCATATAGAGCCACAGAGCACTTGCTCTCCAAGCCAAGCCACAAAATCCCGCCTTATCTCTTCCTTTGTCACTAATTCTTATCAACATAGCCCCTTTAACATAAGTCCTTGCCGTGCTATTCCATTACCTTAGAGCCTGATTTACCTTATTTGATAAGATTGATTTATTTGCATTTGCTTTTCTTCCGTTCTTGTTTGATTTCATGTATCGCCATTATGCCCTGTTGTCATCCTTTGTGTTAACCACCCAAAAATGCACCCAAAAAACACCACACACAAACACACCGAAACCTCCACCCACCGATCACACAACGAAATATCCAACGCGAATACGAAAACTAGACGCCGGGCGGACACCAACTCGCATACCAACACGGTGCCCCGGGATGTGGCCTCGTGGACGTTAAACCGGAACTTCCGGAACAGCGTTGACAGCCAGATCGACGACAAGAGCCTCCATAGGCTGAGCCGGCAGAGCGGCGGAGTTGGCAAGATGCGGTACGACCTTATAGCCTCCGATGACGAGATCCTGCAGGCCTCCAGTGCTGGGCTGAAGCGCACTAAGTCCTTCTGGAAATTCGGCGGCGGACGCAGCGGCGAGGACATCCTGGCCGGCATGTCCCTGTGGCAACACCGCGACCTGGTGGCAGCTCCAAATCTGGAGGAGATGCGCGACCGGGATGATTTGGAGAGGCGTTCGGACGAGGATCGCAACGGCACACTGACCAAGTCGCACAACTCCAGTTCCTCGCAGGAGAAGCGCGATCGCAAGGACAGCCTAACTAGCACAGAACCATATGGGGATGAGGATGAGAATATCTACGGGGTGAGTCCACAGCAACCACCAGCACAGCAGCAACAACAGCAGCAGCAGCAACAACAGCAGCAGCAACACAGGAGCAGTTATACTCCCAAATCCCGGATGAAGATCATGAAGACCATTGAGATTGACATTGAGGAGCCCACGGAGTCGGAGCGAATGAGCACCATGCGACGTGGTCAGTCGCAGGATCACCAGCAGCAGCAGCACCGGAAGTTGGACAAGCAGGCGTCCGGCTCGGGATCCCAGCACAAATCCCAGACCTTGAGTCGCACCAAGACCGCCCAGCAGCAGCAGTTTCCCCAGTCCACGGACGAGGGTGAAAGCGATGAGCATGGCACGCTGAAGCTCAGCGATGTGAACAACTTCTTTGATGTGGAGGGCAAGAACAACAGCCACGGGCATGGATTGGTTATGAAGACGGTGAAGCGCCAGGACATACTCAAGCAGTACTACACCAGCGAGGACGAGGAGGAGTCCGATGCGGAGCTCAAGTCGACCAGTTCCGATCCCTACGACTGCATCGTGATCAATGACCATCTGGTGCGCAAGGACGACAAACTGCGCCGGCATCATCAGCAGCAGCAGCAGCATCAGCAAATGGAGTTCCACACCTTCCGATCCTCCACATCCACGACGGCAACCAATACGCTGAAGAAGGGCTCCTCGAAGGAGCAGGACAGCACTCTGACCCGCAATTCGACGGCCAGTTCCAACGGAGCTCCGACGGCCACCATCCTGCCGCGGACACGCCTCCTCAAGTCCTCCGCCTCCGCCAGCAATAATGTCAGCAGTGCCACCCTGGAGCGGAACTCCAAGAGTATGGCCGGAAACAAGAGCTACGGGCCATGGTACGACTTCTGGGATCAGGAACAGCACGGTCAGAAGTCGGCGAGTGCGAAGCTAAAGTAGGGGAAAGGGTTAAGGATAGGCGAGAGTACGGAATATAACAAGAGTTTCGCCGTCTTCTTACCGGTTAAGAAAATGAGCAGAGAGAGAGCGGAAGGAAAGTGCAGCTGGAGAACGGAGGTGTTCGAAGTGATCCCCGTCCCATCCCAACCCTTTTCCAGTTTGCCCAGCCCTCCTTCCCTTGAATTAAGCAATATTTACCCTGTATAATTATATAGTTTTAGTCTAAGACAAGTTCTGTTTTGTTTGTTTTATGTACATACCTTATTTTAATCGTATAAGCTATTTACATTTTGTGTTTGCCCACGATGCGCAAGACCATTTTCGTACATGCCAGAGGAAACTTCATAGAACAAGGACCTCTCCATTGAACATTCTTCCCTTGAGTTTCGGTGCCTGCATGCATATCATTAAATATATACCTTGTCTAGGATTAAGCTTCCGCCTCATTTCTCTCAATTTGTTAGTCGGAGTAATGCAAATGTAAATTGATTTCTTAGCAGGCGCGGTATTTACCGCAACTATTCCATAGACTATTGACCTGTAGCGAGTCCGTATACCCCAGCTAGCCCCACCATCCCCCGTACTAGATTGTATTTCCAGCCGTAAGTAGAGGTCCCGCGGAGCAGGGATCGCATTCCTCAACTGGAAAAGTCCTTGATCTTTTGCAGAGCCTCTCAGTTCGCCACGGTCAAGTTGCGACACACCAAGACCAACGACCGATCGGCGCCGATGATCTATCGGAGTGTGAACAAGTAGCAACGACAGCGGAAGGTGGAGTTTTCCCTGTGACCAGTCGGTGACCGGATGAACCGAAAGCTCCAGCCAGACCACACCAAATCACCCCCTCTGATTCACACCAAACACAAAAGAACGCAATCTATACAAATCACACGTTTTATATAGCGCATATACAGTTAAAGGCATTATCAGTTAGATCCTCCAGTTGCCTGGATATTTGGTAGTCATTAAGTCGTACTGTTTGTTAAACATTCTGTTTGTATGTACTTCTATGTTAAAGTTCGAAATGTATATTCAAATACCTAATGATTAATAAACCTTATAAAGTTCACAGTTGTAATGGAAAATTAATTAATATTATAATATATAATAGTATTATATCCTAGGAGCTTTACCACGATTTTTAACATTACGAAAATAAAAAGATAAGCTGTGGGCCTTGCAACAACAACAAAGGAGACTTTAAGAATTTACATTCTTGAGATTTTGTCCAGGCTAACCAATCACAGTCGTAATGAGAAGTTAAAGCCGGTCCCGACTAACCCGGTCAGCAAATTATTTGAATATTAAATGATGAACAAAAGTATTTTGACAAACCCAAAGTTAAATGTACTCATAATTTAAACTTACTTGGCCTTAATAGAAAGGTCACTTTAATTCCGTTTGAATAATACAAGACTTTTCTTTACCCATTTAGCACCTACGGAAAATTTGAAATTTTTGTGAGTGTATTTTTATACCCGTTACTCGTAGAGTAAAAGGTTATCGATTGATCCCAAAAAAATTTGCCACGCCCACTCTAACGCCCATAACGTTTAAATCTGTCTACCGTCGTGGCGCATTTTAATCTCGCTTTGCTGCTTGCATATCAACATTTCCCCTTGGTCCCTTTAGCTGAGTAACGGGTATCTGATAGTCGGGGTACTCGGCTATACCGTTCTTCCTTGTTTGAAATCTTTTCGTTGGCTTGAAAACAAAAAGAGAGCTCTTTTTGATGATGTGGCTGTTGGTCGTGACAACACTGCCGCATTGGCCAGGTACTAATGCTATAAAAGCGTATGTGATAACGCTCACGTAGGCTCTAGTGGTGAATTGCGAGTGACAGGCCCACTTCGGAACAAAAAAGAGACATTCAGTTTGTTTGCCCACTGGGTTTGTTTATTTTTGGACCGAACCAGCCGGCAACACATAAGAATGCACTAACGCCACCCCAACAAGAAACGGCATTAAAAAATACTCTACAAAAATACCACAGCCGTCATCAAGGGGATTCCCACAACAATATTTCGGAAGTGCTACAGATAACCGAGCTTGTATGAAGTTTGGGTTGGAATCAGCTTGAAAGATATTTCTTTAGCATCAGGACTTAAAATAGAACCACCAAGAAAACAAACTATACAGTAATAAGTATTTAGTATTTAGAGCCTACAACAACACGGTCTGACCAACGGTTAGTCATTTGTTTATCTCAAAAAATTGTGTTAAAATGAATTCATTAATATTGGATCTGAACGATGACTGTCTGGTTTCCATATTGACCTATCTACCCATCAAGGACCACTTGCACTTCGCCCATGTTTGCACCCGTTTCCGAAATGTGGTTGTATTTAATGCCAAAAGCCTCTACAAGAGAGTGGAACTTACCGGAACCTCAGAGGAGTATCTCCTCATGCATGTTGTTGGTGTTGGTGATTTGGTAAAGAATCTGTATTTTACCTTTGACGAGGAGTGGGTTGGAGATTTAAATGTGCTTCTCAATACAATCGGATGCCTGATCAACCTAGAGCAAGCTACTTTAAATTTTTCGTGCCCTGTGCCACTACCAAAAATCCTCGCTATTATCCAGGATCTGGCAAAGCTGCCCTTACTAAAGGACATCACAATGGTTAAAGACGCTCACGTAACAGCCAGAAGGTGGTACGGTCCGTTTATTATACCATCCGGACTTAACGAGCTAGAGAAAGTCCTGAATACACTCAAGGAATTTCAAAGAAAAACAATGCCAAGACGGTGCGGCTATGTAATGATTCAGGAAAGACTGAACAACTCTCGATAACAACAAGTCTTGATCAAACACCTTCAACGTTCAAAAGTCAAAAGTTCTAATATCAAACTTTGTTGTATATAATTCGGACTTTTTTGGGTTAAATTAAAAAAATTTGCTTTTAGTTTTAGTATGAAGAGATATTTGCGTTTATTGCCTATTAATTTAATAAAGTTTTTTCATTCGATTTAATTTTATAATTAATTTAATTTTTAAAAATTTTTTTTAATATTAAATAAGAACAATTCAATGCCCTTTTGGCCAAATTGGTGATGTATACTTTTTAACAATATTTAATGCTCAAACGTGTTCAAATAAATAGCTGGTTTAAAACTTTTAAACGCGACTTTTTCAAACATCTGTGCTTATGTTTTTGCTAAAATCAGGTACAAACACTTTTGATTTAAGAACGATTTGATGCCCAACATTGTAAGACCGTTAGTACTGGAAAGGTCTTAAACCGAGCCCAATTTGGATTTCAATATCGATCAACTCCAAGAATTCCCCACTTTTTATTTTGAGCTTTCAAAACTAAATCCCTGGCTTCATCCCAGAGGTCAAGCTAGCAATAAGTTGTTTGACGCATAGAATCCAATTGCGGCCTTTTCACCTCATAAGGTGGCGACAAGTTAAAAGAAATCTCTCCGGCAGACGATAAATCAGGCTCTATGTTAGCCAGACTTTCTTCACGAAAGGCCTTTTGTAGATGCTTCGAAAGTCACTGTTTTGAAATTTCCCAATGCCCTTGACCGTGGGCAGCGTTTCTAGAGTCCCGATAATGGCATTATTGCATTTGCATTGTAGCGGGGTAGGTAAAATTCAGAGCAGCGTGTTCCAGATGGACCAGACATGTCATTCCGACAAAATCCTAGTAATATTTTAAGTACATATTTGAACACAATTTTTTGAGATAAACAAATGACTAACCGTTGGTCAGACCGTGTTGTTGTAGGCTCTAAATACTGAATACTTATTACTGTATAGTTTGTTTTCTGGATGGTTCTATTTTGAGTCCTGATGCTAAAGAAATATCTTTTCAAGCTGATTTCCAACCCAAACTTTATACAAACTCTGTTATCTGAAGCACCTCCGAATTATTGTTGTGGGAATCCCCTTGATGACGGCTGTGGTATTTTTGTAGAGTATTTTTTAATGCCGTTTCTTGTTGGGGTGGCGTTAGTGCATTCTCACGTGTTGCCGGCTGGTTCGGTCCAAAAATAAACAAACCCAGTGGGCAAACAAATTGAAGCTCTATTTTCGAAGTCGGCGGAGGTACTGGAACCTGCCATGAATGGGTCTTGGAAACTGGTCTTGCCCGTGGGCTTTGTGCTATACTCGCTGCCGCTGTTTCTGCGGGTGAACGGCACCTCGGACTATGTAATCGACGAGGAGTTCCACATTCCACAGGGATTGGCCTTTTGCCGCAAGGAATTCGATGTGGTAAGCGAGAAAGTACTACATATACCTATGGTCAGATGACCAGATCCATCCGTCTTTCAGTGGGATCCCAAAATAACGACGTTTCCGGGCTTGTACTTGATTGCGCTCATCCTGAATCCTTTGAACCTGTGCACGGTAACGGGCCTGAGGATGCTTAGCCTGGCCGGTGCCGGGATCAACATCCTCCTGCTCTACAAGATTAGGCGCCGCATCCTGGCCGGCTCGGGGGGCAACTCGTATGCCGCCCATGAGGCTATAACGATGTCCGTTCTCCCGCCACTCTACTTCTTCACCCACCTGTACTACACAGACACTCTGTCGCTGACCATGGTGCTTCTGTTCTACAACTATTGGCAGCAGGAGGCCCATCTGCCGGCAGCGGTCTTTGGGGCCGCCAGTGTGCTAATGCGCCAGACGAACATCGTGTGGGTTTGCATGGCCACCGGGATGACAGTGCTGGACACGCTAGTCCACCAATGCATCCGAACTCGGGTCGTTCCTAAGGACAAAATCCGATTGTTGGGCAAAGAGGTGGGTCACTTTTCCTCCAAAAGCTTAGTGCTACCACTGATAAAGTATTTAGTCAAAACTTCTCCATACAAAATTAATACATTTTTATCAGTATACCTCCATTAAAGTGTTTACCCTTTAATATTTCAGTTGTGGGTGCAACTTTTCAGCAGTCCCCAATTGCTGTGCAACTGCTTCCTGAGCATTTTGGCCAAATGCTGCTTCTACGCTTCGATCATTCTGCCCTTCGTGGGCTTCCTGTTCATTAATGGCTCCATTGTGGTGGGCGATAAGAGTGCCCACGAGGCCAGCTTGCATGTGCCGCAGCTCTTTTACTTCGCCATATTTGCGGCTGGCTTTGGAATATCCAACACCATACGCCAGTTACGTGCGGCAGCAGACCTAATTCGTAGAAACCGCATGTTGTCCCTCTTGGCGTTGCTGCTAATATTGGTTGTAATACACTTAAACACCGAGGTACATCCATATCTGCTGGCCGACAACAGACACTATACCTTCTACGTTTGGAGCCGGCTTTACGGACGGTTCTGGTGGTTTCGGTACGCCATGGCGCCAGTGTACCTGCTCTCCATTTCCGTGCTCTTCTGCGGACTGCGTCACATGCCGGACAGCTTCAAGTTGATGTTTCCAGTCAGTCTCTTTCTGGTGCTGTGCTTCCAGCGACTCTTGGAGCTGCGCTACTTCCTGGTGCCCTACATCCTCTTCCGGCTGAACACGCGACACTCTCGCAAGGGCTACGCCGAGTGGCTAGAACTAGGCGCTCATCTGCTCCTCAATGTGGCCACATTTTATGTGTACTTCACCAAGGAGTTCTACTGGCAAAATTACCGCGCTCCTCAAAGGATCATTTGGTAGTTCCTTCAAACTGCATTCCTTTTGACCTAAAATCCTGGATCGGAAGTCATTTACGTCTTCGGCATTTAAAAAATAAAACCGCTCGGCATTTTCAATATTGCTTTTTATTCGATGCATTGCTACTTGGATGAGAAATTGCTCTACGATTTAGTTTAAAAATCTGGGCAGAGTCCTATGGATAGATATTAGAGGGTGGAGAATGTAAAATAAATTTGAAATCGTATGAGTGTAATGTAATCTGTGGACAATTTGGCCTTGGAAACACAAAGCCAAGAAAACGTCATACTCATACGATTTCCTTGTTAAAAAATATGTGACCACCTTAAAATGTAAATATTTGTATAAGACGTTATTTGATAAATACATATGTTAAAACTTACGAGCTAGCGAAATGGACTTCAATAGATAATACTGCCGAGGCATACACAAAAAAATCAGTTTATAAAATCGTACACTTTGAGCATGCTGAGAGAAACTAGACAATCTATACGTTAATGATAAGTAATAATGCTGATCGCGTTGTCGAATGCACAGAATGCAAAACTAGGCAAGAAATGCTACTGACTATGGTAATAAAATTAGCACACACTTGGAGCGTTACGGTTGCAGTTTGGCACACAACCCCTCAAATATCTGTACTTTAAGTGTCCCTGCCTAATCGAAGGCCACCTTGCGGGTGAACGAGGTGAGGGAAGAGATCTCGCTTGGGTTGGAGTCCGATGGCAGGTGGCTGAACTCGATCTCCTCGCTGGCAGCCGAGGCCACGATGTTCTCATTGGACTGAGTAGTCTCGTCGCTGTGGTGCATTGTGGGCCATTGCTTGTGGCTGGGGGCGTACAGGATGAGCAGAGCGAAGATGTAGATGTTCCACATGCCGTAGACGCCGGTCAGGAAGGCGGAGGTTAGCTGAATCTCCACGTTGTCGTTCCAATCCCATTGACCCTCGGCCATTTGGCCCATGACGAAACCGGCCACAGTCAGAGCAGCACATACTAGGGTGGCCAGCATTAAGAATTTAAAGCGGTAGATGAGTCCTGCAATTAAAAATAATTATTGATCATAAAACTCATATTTAATCATAGCATTATTATAGCTGCATTATTAGCCTATTAGCAACGCTTTCGTTAGTTTTTTTTAATATTATTTGATGGTTATATGGTTGGGAACTGGACGATACAAAATCCTTTCTTTTTAAATTTCATTTTTAATTTGAGCTTCTTTTAATCCTTACTGGGAACTGGACGATACAAAATCCTTTCTTTTTAAATTTCAATTTTAATTTGAGCTTGTTGTAATCCTTACTCCTTATGATAAGTAAACGAGGAATAGGTGTGGGATTTTACAGAACTAGCCATTCAGTTGACTTGGCAATGGATAACATACCCTCGTAATGTAGTCGGCGCGCCTGGGACATAGACGGCAGCGAAGTGCGCTTGTCGCCAATGTTCCTGAACACCTTCCAGATCATGTAGCACAGGAATAGGAAGTAAATGGCTGCCGAAACTCCGGCCAACACTATGAAGGTCATAGCCACCTTTGCGCCCAGCGGAGTGGTCCAGATGGAGTAGAATGGGTTGCGCAGCTGCACGCCCCTTTCGCAGATATCGAAGACGAACAGCGAGATGCAGCCCACCACGACGGCAGACAGATGCTTCCAGTAACGCGACCGGATGGTTGACTTATTTGGGGCATCCTGGATGAGCATGTGTTCTCCGGCGAACACGAGCCAGAAAGAAAGCAGCATGGCGTAAAAGATTCCCTGACGGATGTCACTCAGTAGCAGCATGTAAGGCATCTCGAAGGCCAGCGACAAGTACTCCAGCGGCAGGTTGAGGAAGGTCAGAGCAGCCCCCAGATAGATGAGCATGTACTCCAGCAGGGCCGGCGATCGCTGCAGCAGATGCACCCGCCTCCAGAACCAGATCATGATGCCCACCACAAAGGGAAACAGCACCGTCTTCAGCAGCAGCCAGATCTGGGTGAATCCTCCATTCTGATGAATGGCGGTCAGCGTGAGATCATGCATGTGCCCAAACTGCAGGTTCATCTGGCGCGGCGTGTCCAGCGGGAAACGCAGATTCAGCAGATAGAAGCTGTGATGTAGGGCGCCCAGTTCAAACAGGGGGATCATGTCGCAGGAGTAGAGCGTCTCTGTGGGTCCCACATTAGTCGGGACGCAGTCCAGGTACCGGTGTTCCACCCCGTGGGCATACAACTTCCAGCCGTTATCCGGGTCCCCCTTATTGCGATAGGCAAGTCGCATGTCGATGGTCAGCTGGAGTTCCCTGGGCGGCTCCCTTAGCTCCGAGGAGGAATCGTAGCCGAACTCCACCTGCAGGACCCCGATGAGATTCTGCTGCCAGCGGGAGTAGTCCAAGTCGCGCAGATCACGAGGCAGCGGCATCTGAAACACGTGCACCAACTCATTGGCCATCTTCATGGAATCCCGCTCTACCTCTTCCCGGGTCACTGGGATGCAGGCTCCTGCACCGCGGGAGTACAAAAGGAATTCCGTGTCGTTCTGACGGGCGTGATCCTCGCGGCACAGCGATCCCAGGACGGTGACATGGCCGGCGGGCAGGGGCGCATATAGACCGCCCAGCAGGAAGCACAGCACCTGGCAGAGCAGCAAACTGGCCACCAATATGGACAGCTTGCGGCCGCTCAGGTTCTCCAGTATGGTGCCCGACATCTTGGTTATTCGAGGGGGTGGAGCTCACTGGTTCACTGCCCTGCCCTCGATTCGTGTGTACAGATAGGTGCAAGTAAAGTAATGTAAACAATCTGCTACACTTGAAAACTACAAAACTTCAAACGCGCCGCAAACAGAAAAATCCGAAACCAAGAAGCAACAAATCAGGATGACCTTATGCGGACTTTTCAAATATACCGGTAGATCGCCAACATATACTAAGTTTTGGTATTTTCGGTATTTGTAGTATACCGCTGTGGCGCGAATGTTTTTTTGTATTTTTTAAGCCACTTTTTAATTTTGTAAAATGTGTATGTAACATTTACAGTTGATTTAAATTTATCGTTAAAAAATCCATCGTTATTTTATTTTTTCCTTTGAAAATGAAAATCTTATATGTTATTCACTCAAGGAACCATGTTGCTAAAGTTTTGGGACGGATATCATTTTCCATTTGAAAATCTCTGGATCTACTTTTAAGTTTTCCTAACAATTGTTAAATGTTGGTAATATCTATTTACAATCTCCCTGGTCAATGTAAGTGATAAAATTTAGTTATTGCCCCAAAGACAAATTCTGAATTATATTATAAGAAATCAAATTAAAGGTAGTTTGTACTGTATTTAATAATCTGTTAAATTAAGGATAGTTTTAAAATATAATTTCAAAATTAATAAATGCGTTGATATTGCCGGGATATCGATACTATCGGTAGGGTAATCTGCTGGTTTGACAGCTCTATCAGCGTGAGTACACGAAATGGTGTTTATCAACTGGAATGCACTTAAACCCGGCAGGCGGCCATCCATTTGAATCGGAAGTGAAGTTGACAGAAGCGAGTCCTCTTCCCTCGAATCTCTCCGCATTTCTCTACACCATTTGATCACATTGGTCCTGAACTATCCAACTATCCATTTAGAGTCCATACAGATTCCGGAGTCTTTGGTACTCCTGATTCACCGTTATCCGAGTCCCCGAACACCACGATGACTGACCGAAGCGACTTGGACCGCCAGATCGCGCAACTGCAGCGCTGCGAGCTCCTCTCGGAATTCGAAATCAAGATCCTGTGCGGGAGGGCTCGCGAACTCCTGTTGGAGGAGGGCAATGTGCAGCGCGTGGACTCGCCGGTGGTCGTGTGCGGCGACATCCATGGCCAGTTCTACGATCTGAAGGAGCTGTTCAGGGTGGCCGGCCAGGTGCCCGACAGGAACTACCTCTTCCTGGGCGACTTTGTGGACAGGGGCTACTTCAGCCTGGAGACGTTCCTGCTGCTCCTTGCCTTGAAGGTGCGCTACCCGGAACGCATTGCCCTGGTCCGCGGCAACCACGAGTCCCGCCAGATCACCCAGGTGTACGGATTCTACGACGAGTGCATTCGCAAGTTTGGTTCCGCAATCATTTGGCAGTGCTGCTCGGATGTTTTCGACTACCTCAGCCTGGCGGCAATCATCGATGGCTCGGTGTTCTGCGTCCACGGCGGACTGTCGCCGGCCATCCAATCTCTGGAACAGATCCGTGTCCTTGACCGCAAGCAGGAGGTGCCGCACGACGGGCCAATGTGCGATATGCTCTGGAGCGATCCGGAGGATCAGCTGGGCTGGGGAGTCTCGCCTCGTGGGGCTGGTTACCTCTATGGCTCGGATGTGGTCGAAACGTTTAACCGCGCCAACGGCCTGGACATGATATGCCGCGCCCACCAGCTGGTCATGGAGGGCTACAAGTGGCACTTCGGCAAATCCGTCCTGACTGTGTGGTCAGCTCCTAACTACTGCTATCGGTGAGTGGTACGTTCTGAACTTATAAATTCGTTGGTAACATCTTTGGTATTAATCTTGAAGCTGCGGCAATGTGGCTGCCGTCGTGGAGATGGATGAGTTCCTAGGCCGCAAATTTATCATTTTCGATGCGGCTTCAGCGGAGAATCGAAGCCGTCCCACCAAGAAGCCACAAGCGGAGTACTTTCTCTAGGAGGAACTATTCACTATCTACCGACTCAACTCATTAAAGAAAAATCATAGAAAACGTGATTCGACTATGAAACCTGCGCTTTAATAGCTACTAAGTAATAAGAAGAAAACTTCAGAGTCCAGTGAATTTCTCAGGAAAAGAAGCTGTAGTATGTAAGCAAAACTATTATTACCCAAAAAGATATCTACCTAAAATAAAGACCTTATGATACTAAGTTCAACTATTTTTAATAATATATATTGGTTTTTGTTTAAGCTTTATTTGCTTGAATAATTTAAGTGCTAACATTTTTGATCATTTCAATGTTTGAAATGCTTTTACGCGCCATACGATCTCAATATAGATTTAGAAATTATTATTGTAAGTTAAATCGTTTTAAAAGTGTGTGTGTGTTTCAAGTGTGCCCCGTAAATCACGTTCTATACGTATGCCCTATGCCATTTTCCAAACAGTTAGTAAATCAGAAACAGATTTGAATCTCTCAAACCGCCAAATGAGCGGGGGCTTTGACGATGTTGCCCCATCATTGCGTTCTTGTTGTCATCACGGCGGCTCCACAATCAGCTGTTCGGGCTCCCCAGCTGATATCGCGACAGGTGGCCAAAGGCTAAACTTTGGCTGAACTTTGCAGGGGGCGGACAGAAAATGCGACCTCTCCAGGTGAGTTTTGCAATCCAGAAGTCCTCAATCCATTTATTAAATATTTTACTTCCATTTAGCGTGTGCGGCAACTGCTGAGTGTGGGAAGCCGGATTCGGAACAGAAGACCACTACATGGCCAGCGAGAAACGTCTGTCCAGAAAGGCGGTCTTCCTGCGGTGCGACTGAGCCTCTTGGCGGCAGGAGCAGGTGCCCTGGCATACGATGGAATGGTGAATGACTTCACCTACTGCGGCGCCTCCGTGCGATTTGTGCGGTCCTTAAAAACCGCCGGACTAATAGCCGCCGACTATCTTCGGCTGGACGAGAACGATCCGGAGTACGAGACCAAGGTGAAGGTGCTCCACAAGAAGAGCGCCGAACGACTGTTGGAGACTTGTCTGCTCAACGGTGGCCTGTACATCAAAGTGGGCCAAGGATTCGCCGCCATCAATCACATCCTGCCCGTGGAGTACACCAGCACGCTGTCCCTGCTGCAGGACCGCTGTCTGCCCACCACCCAGGCGGACGTGCAGAAGGTCTTTCGCAATGACTTTGGTCAGCTGCCCGAGGAGATTTACCAGGAGTTCGACTACAAGCCCGTGGCAGCGGCCAGTTTGGCGCAGGTCTTTAAGGCCAAGTTGCCCAGCGGCGAGCAGGTGGCCGTCAAGGTGCAGTACAACGATCTGCAGAAGAGATTCATCAGCGACCTCGGCACCATCATCTTCCTTCAGGACATTGTCGAGTTCTTCTTCAAGGACTACAACTTTGGCTGGATCTTGAATGACCTGCGGAAGAACCTGGTGCTGGAGCTAAACTTTTTGCAGGAGGGCCAGAACGCTGAGCGTTGCGCCAAGGATATGGAGAAGTTCAGCTTCGTTCACGTTCCGAAGGTCCATTGGTCGTTTACCAAAACGGTGAGTTCTTTAGGAATTTTTAGGGCCTACTATCCAATAGATATTTTCAGTAAATCGATTCAAAAGAATACTTTATATTTATTTATTTATTTATATTTTGTACACAATGTTGATTAATTTAAAAATTGTTTCTTTCAGCGCGTTCTTACTCTTGAGTGGATGGAGGGCTGTAAGATTAACGATCTTAAGACGATAGAAAAAGAAAAGCTCAGCCTGAAGGACATCGATGTGAAGCTCTTTGAAACCTTTGCTGAGCAGATTTTCTATACTGGCTTCGTGCACGCCGATCCCCATCCAGGAAACAGTGGGTTAACTTGTAAACCCGCCCATTTTATTACTATTATTAATATTTCCCTATTTTATTTCCAGTTTTTGTGCGCAAAAATAGTAAAAGCGGCCGAGCGGATATAATTTTGCTGGATCATGGCCTTTACGAAGAACTTCCTCAAAATGTGCGAGGGCCGCTCTGTGAGTTCTGGGAGGCCACTGTTCTGCGCGATGAGACAAAGATGCAGGCGGCCGCCGAGAAGATCGGAATTGCAGACTACATGCGCTTCGCCGAAGTGCTCTTCCAGCAGCCGATTAGGAATCGAAGTGGAACCATCCGGGGCAAGCTGTCGCAGGAGGACATTGACCACATGCAGGAAATAGCCAGGAACAACTTTGAGCACATCATGGGCACTTTAAAGGAGATGCCCAGGAGCATGTTGTTTGTGGTGAGTTCCCTGACAAAAATCTTGATTAAAGTATTCCTTTCTCTTCCTTTATAATATCCAAAAAAAAGGGTAAAAAAGTGAGAGAAACTGTTCCTTATATATTATTTTTTATTTTAGACAAACAATTTGATATTTATTAAAATGTAAAATGATATATTGCAATACTACCTATTCCATAACACCATTTAAATAATAATAATGTAAAAGGAAATTGAATTAGTTCTTGCGGTTTGACAAGTATGATCAAAATATTGGTACCTTATAGTATAAGTTATCTATAATATAAGTTATGCTATTATCTAGTTTTGATTTATCAACGAATCTTTAATTTCATGTCTCAACTAGGTCCGCAATCTGAACACGGTGCGAGCAATTAGTCATCAGCATGGAGACGTCGTGAATCGTCCGCGGGTCATGGCGCGATATGCCCAGAAGTGTCTCTATATGCAGCACACTAGACGGTCTCCCGTGCAATTCGTCCGCTGGCTGAGCCGACGCATCTATTTCGAGTATTGTCTGTTTTTGTCAGCCTTCAAGCTGCGCCTCCTCGACTGGTACTTCAATATGCTTTATTTCCTGGGACGCGCCCCTGCCTCGGCGAGGACCGCAATGAGGGACATGATGCAGCCCCCGGAACCGGTGATGTTGAGATGAGTGGTTACCTGTTTGCTTTACCCCTAAATCATAAGTTAAAAATGTATTTTCTAAGATAAATGTTATATGTATAAATAATACGCTGACTCATTATCTGACACACATTCCTAGAAAAGAGGAACTCAATTAGAGCCATGACATCTCAAAATTTTAATATATTTTATATGACTATGAATGAGTCGGAAATGGGGTTTTATAAATGGTGTAATGAGAAAATATTTATTGTAAGTTTATTAACAATGTATTTATATGCCTTTATGACGCTTCACCCTTTTTTGCTATTAAGGTGTAGGACTTTTGAATAAATTGTATAGTGACTTGCATTTAGAATTGGTGTTTTACTGCCACTCTTTTCCCTGATTCTGACGACCCTTCAAGTCGGTATCCTTCAACACTTTGGCTGCACCTGATCACTTCCGACACCCCAGAACGTTTTCCATTTCCCAAGCCCAGAGAATGCGGCATTCACTGCTGTTAAACTGAGGTGTGCATGACAAGTCTGGGACTTTAATAAAATTGCCAGTGACTTGCCCAAGGTTATAGCCAGCCAGACAGCCAATCAGTCAGTTATTGGGCCACTTTCACTTCCATTTAGGCCCTCCCAAAAATTCAACAAATCAATCGGGTAGCCCGAAACACGAGTGCTGTCTAAATTTAAAATGGCTGAGCCATACTGCGGTGGCCCCTGGAATGTCTTTCCGGGTGTATCATTGGAATATTAACACCTAACACCCAGTAATGCACACACACGGCGTGGGTACAGGTGTTCCTGCCCCGAAACAGGCACAAATGGGCGTCAACTACATATTTCCGGTTGTGTGGGGCGCCTCGACAGGCTGCAGCATGTCAGACTCCAGCCGAATGTAACCTCCACCTATGGCCAGGCCCGTGTCCTATGTCCCATGTCCCATGTCTCCGCCTCGTCCCGCCGTAACACTTTCACTTCATGTGCCACATACATCGAGTTTCGTGTGCCGCACACAGAACTAAATTCAATTCAATTTCATTTAAAGTTACTTTCGCTGACTGACAGACAGCGAACGACCCTCTCAGCCTGAGCCTAAAAACCAGCACAGTGGGATGAAATCAAAGAAGTCCTTTTTTGAATTTAGGGTCTTCAATTTCTTGAGTTCTGATATTTTGGTGGTTTAATGCGGTCTAAAATAAAGAATTACATCAAACGTTTTTCTAAAACAAATTTCTTTATTAAGATGATTGCTAATTAAGTGAGGATCATAAGATATTTTCTTTGTATACAGGTTTTTCCAAAGCACGGCACACAAAATTTTACTTACAAATTTTAAATTATAAATCATAAGCTATCTTATCAAAGTTAAACTCTGGTTTCCCCTTCAGGTCCCACTGTAAGTAACTGCCACCTGACTGGCTTCTGTTTAGTTGCGCATACGCCCCGTGCGCCCACGGCTAAATATGAAATTAAAAATCCATGCTGAAGTGTGAAATGCCTAGGAGCTGTCTGCCGTGCCACCTCCAAAGCCCAGCTGAGGCTCGAGTTGGAGCCCGGAACCGTGCGCGGCGAGAAATCATTCGCCAACGAGTCGCAGAGTGGAGCAAAGGTCTCTAGCGGAAACGGAAATCAGCAGCTAATTAGAAATATGAACAAAGACTTCATCACGCAGGGCGGCACGCCCATTACCGCTGACCTGGCCACGGTAATTAGAAGTCATCCGGACGCAAAACGCGACTTGATCCTGCACATTTTGTGTTCTTGTTCAGGATCTGCGCAATCTGGTTTTCGGTACCGCCGCCATTCCCATGCGAGCCGAATGGCTGCAGACGTCCTTTGTGTTTGGCGCTCAGAAGGAGGAGCTGGCCTACGGCCTCCGTTCGCCCCGGAATGCCACCCGTGGCCTCTTGTCCGTCGTCCAGGGATTCGTCCTGAAGTATCTCCTTTTTGCCCGGAAGACCAGTCGCGTCGCTTCGCTTACCGAGTGCGTTTACATTTCTATTTCCGTTTCCGGCTTGGCTTAGTGCGCGTTTGAGTGGGTTATCCAGAGTGCTTGTGTGTGTTTCCGTTTCAGTCCGCTCCTGGCCACCGCCGAGATGCAACGAGAGGCCCTGTTCTGCGCCCTGCTGGAGATCCTGCGCACCATCTCCGACAAGGGCAAGGTCACCATAGTGCTGCCGTCGGAGGACGAGGTGTTCGTGGAACACAGCGCCTGCTATTTCCACGACTCCGTCACCGAGAAGGTAGGTGTCGATATTTCATAACACAGTCGGCCTTGCAGAACTCAAACCTTCATATACCAAGAACAAAATTGACTTATAAAATTTAACTAGAGTAAAAGTATTGGTAAAGTTATTTTTAGGAGTTGACACGTTAATCATTATATATAATTTGCTTAAAGCAACAGCCTTTTGGTCAATTTAAATCTGCAGCAATATATTTGGTTTAAGCTATAGAGAAAACCCAGTTATATACTTACGAAGACAAAAATAAATGTTCGAGTTAGGTAAAATTCAAATAAAGGAAGTTTTTTGTGCATATGTGTATAATAATACGCAATCTGACTAATTTTTTAATAAAAAAATATTTTAAATCTAAAAACATGTACTGGACTTTAAACTAATCTTAACAGGATTTCATAGAACCGTTGTATGCCCCAACTTACAGAGATTTTATTAGGTGTGAGTATTAAATTAACAAGATGCTTAAGATTTTTTACAAATGCGTATTGTTTTAGCACTACACGGTTTTTAAGTTCTATAAGATGTTGAGTACAACATTCTTAGGGATGTTAGGCAATGGATATACATTTGGATATTCATTAAAATATACAATAATTTTTGGCAGGAAAGTGCTATTTTAGAGGTTAAAAACTAATTAAATATTTTTGTAAATATTTTCAAATTATAAAATTTCCATCAAAAACCTGTCCCAATAATCCTTTGCAGCTCTATGTTTTCACACTGTCACCCAACGAGGAGTTGGAATACTTTATGAAGCGAAATTTCAAATACGTAAGACCCAGAAAGTTAACTCCTAACATGCTCAGCTATTTGATCAAACAGTTTGCACTTAACCTGCCTTAAAGTTTACAGAGGAGGAGACCCCGGGCACCCTGCTGTTTCTTTATAGCGCCGTCCTCACGCGATCCATGGGAAAGTAAGATTGGCCCCAAGTGTCTGTATAAGCAAATACTATCCTCTGTGTCGGAGACCTCTCATAATCCATTAAAATTTACCTTTCGGCGGTGAATACTTTCGCATATTTTTCAGAGTTCGCACGGACCTGGACTCCGCGAAATCCGCGCCCCTGACGTCGAGCAATCACGAGGAGGGCTCTCTGATGATAGTCACCCTGCTGCTGACGGGTCGTGCCACGCCCTATATTCACAATGGTGTTGTAAATGTGGGCGACGAGAGTAGCTATGTGGGTACCAAAAATCAGAGTAAGAGTCCTTTGATGGCAATGAATGTACTTTTGTTTTTCAGGCGGTTCCACAGTATGGAGTCCTTAAACGTTGTATGATCGGTCTCCTGCTCTGGGATATCGAGTCGGCCAGTGTAAGTAAATTTACATAGAAAACCTTTCTCTTATTCCAAAAGTAATTCCTAAAGATTCATAAACCCCTGATACATTTTTGGAAGTTAAGGTTATTTATTCACTGCCTTTGTAGAGACGGTCCTTGAATTTCTTCCCAACTATTGTAAGCTTATAAAGCTACTAGTGGTTCTATTACTTTGGTTTCCTGGCTGTAACCTTTTTATGGTTGTAAATATAGCATCTTATTGAATTTCTTCGGCAGGCTGCGGTTAATCAGTCCCGCCAGCCGGGTTCCCGCCTGAAGACGCCCAACTACCCCATCTGGATAACCAGCTGCACGGGCCACTTCGGCGTGATCTTCAACAAGAATCCGGACCTGCTGCGCAACTACCATGCGGAGTCGCGGTTCGACGTGAACTACTACAGCTGCTCGGGCCACCAGATCCTGATGACCATCGACAATCGCACCTACAACGAGCAGGCATTGGTCATGTTGGAGCGGCAACCAATCACGCCGGAGAGTACCTCGATGTCCGGAAAGGAGGAGGGCGGGGGCGCAACGTCGCCAACGGCCGTTTCCGGAGGAGGAGGTGCTGCTGCCGGCGGCGGTGTGGGTGGCGCTAGCGGCGGTGTTGGTGGTGCTGCTAGTGGCGCTAGCGGTGGTAACGATGTGGTCGCCAAGGAGGAGTCGACGCTCAACACGCCGTTGCAGCGTCTGATTCATACCAAGTGGGAAGAGGCAACTATAAGCTTTCACGTGCAGCCATCGATGTTGAGTTATCTTTTTAGTACCACTCAGTAGAATGCAGGATCCGAAAGGGTTGTAGGAACTCCTTTGCTAAAGTCAGACCGATTCACATTCGAGCGCAAGAGATATCATCAAAGAGTAGTTAGATCGGGACAAGCCATTGGTACTAGTTTTTGTTGAAGGTCAGCTTATAAAATTGGTTAGAACATAATAAGAAACCATATATTTGTTGAGATCGATGAGTTTTTAAAATATTATTTTAAAATTAATTTCATTATATAACAGACAAGGTTTGTTAACTGTAATACAAATTCAAGATTTCATTTTAACTTTAGATATTTGACATTTTAATTGACTTCACCGCAATTCATTTAAGCATGTAAGCTTGTTATGTTGTCTCTTGATCTATGATATAAATCGACTTTCTTGGCGAATGACCAATGCACCAATGAATTTAAACGCCTATTTATATCCTCTTATGGATATAAGCTGTTTTTATTCACATACCAAACAAGTAAGTTCCAAACGCCAGTAGCAAAAAACAATGAAAGCCCTAAAGATTAAATATTTTACCAGATTATTCATATCATAAGAGAAGTTTATTGAAAAATATCTATTAAACGTAGAAATGGGGCTTTGACAAACCCCAAAACATAGATTTAAATACTTACCAGATTAGCGCCATATAATGTAAGCTTACTAGATGATGCACAAGATTATAGTTTAGTTGGCACACATTGTAGTAGAATTCTACTGTTGCTGTCTATCCGATGGACTACCATTATTGGTATCTTAAAAAGATATAAGTGGTCGAAGATCAATACATCGAACCATAACAGCGATGGTAAATACACGTAAAATATTCCAAGTATCTGATTAATGCGAACGAGCTAGGGCAGATTTATGAAAAGTTGCACAGCCTTCAAAAATCTGCCTGGATGAGGCCTCTCTTTACGAGAAGAGCGACTACGGGACTCTAAACCAGTTGATTGATGCTGCCGCCTGGAGCCACTAGACGATATAATATTATCAAATTTTAAGAAGATCACCAACATGCTTCGATTACTCCAACCGCACTTTTCGACATTGTCAAGTTTCTTTTCGAAATAAACACTCTTGTACAACCTCTGTGAATCCGAAAAGAGTATTCCATAGAGTTTCTTGAGGGGGAGGAATAAAACCATTCACTGATTACTTTGAAAATGTTTAAGAAAAGTTTATCAATTTATTGAAAGGTATTTGTATTTCTTTAAAAATGATTGAAGTTCCTTGCTATAAGTCCTGTCAGGTTTAAACATTGTATGTGGGTTACTTGAATAAGAGAATAGTTTTAGACGTATTTCTGTATCTTTAGTATTCATTGAAACATTTTGAGATATTCTTGAAAAGGTTTAACTTGATTTTCTTATGAGTTCATCAAGACTCGGTTGTTATTTATTTTTGTAAGATTTTGTAAGTACCTAACTAATTGCTTTGCGGCTTATCGTATTCCATATTCAATTGTATAAATTGTATAAATTTCGTAATACCATTTGTCATAGTTTCCTCGCATCCCTGCGCTTCGCCCTGCTTTTGCGGGACGTGTAAAATTTGGTTACAATATTTGGTGATTATTATTTACATGTAGGCGATTTCAGTGCAGTTCATAACTTCAATATAAATTTCTTTGTAAACTTAACTTAGCGTACTTATGAGTAGTGACAAAAAGTTATGCGTTGGAAACCCGTTTCGGAAAGAAAATGCATATCTTAAGCATACAAAGAGTTCTCGTTCAACAAAATATCGTGTGGCGCTTAGAATGAAATTGATTTTGCCAAACTTTTGAGCCATTCAGTCCCATTAGCAGGACCCATTACAATGTTTAAACTGTGTCCCCTTCCTTCTGCTTGTATCCAATTTAGCTTCGTGCAATTTTGGTGAAGCACGCGATTTGGATTCTCCGGGGAAGGAGGCTCATCCGTGCACGACTTATCTGTGCCACTCGCCTCGAAAATCCATCCATATGTCGACATGCATTATTGAAACGCTTGCCCCGGTTTCGGGAGAATTCGGGGAAATACGTTCTTGTTGACACCTTGCCCTAATTGATTGCTGATGTGGTTCAGGCCTTGACCTCGCACGAATCCTACGGACGGAGTTGGAGGTCCCGGCTGTCACAGGTGATTTAATTTCCCCAAGGGAACGGTGAGTGCAGAACTTTGGGGGCCTTCTTCTTTGGTCTAGGAACATCTTATCCAATTCGTTGCTGAAGTTTGCTTTCATGGGTGGTAAATCCGTTTCAACTTAGAGCGTAAACAAGTTTAAGCTTAAACTAAGCATTGCGATTATTTACAAAATAGTCGTGGACGCTGCGATATGATACAATACGTTACTTAAGGTAAGATTAGGAGTGTATATGGTACGATTACGTGTAAGGTGTCAAACAAAGCCTACGGTGCATCGAATTATCATAGAGGGGTGTGCGCTTAGAGCCTAACTACTCGTATGATTATGGTAGTAATGTACACCGACTAATGATCTGATCAAATCTGATTGGTTTCTCCGTGCGCCGGGTTGTACCTGTACAACCCGCCAGAGCCACGGTCAAAATGGGAGCGATCCACTGTGTCTGTATGGAGACAGTGGGCTCCGCTGGCTAAGCCTAACTAGCTAACTACAGTCAGTATCCCTATGGGCGCACCAGCAGCTTGTCTATGTGCTCCAGGTTCGTGTTCTTGTAGTGCGTCCTGTTCAGCGCCTGGGCGGGCGCGTTCTTCTTCGTCTGTGTGTGCCACGTGAGAATCTGAAGTGAAGAAATCATTATTTTATTATATTAATATTTTTTAATATTAATAATGCGACTCTGGTAAAATAATGTGGGCATATCATTTTAGTAGAATAAAATTGTTGAAGATCTTTTGTTTCTTATTAGGTCTATAAAATTGTTTATCGTTTTAATATTATTTGTTTGACCATAATAACGGCTTTGTTTTAAAACATACCGAAGGTTCCACGACTATGTCTTTTTGTCCCATTGCCCTTTAGTTAATTTTTACCCATTCTTTTTTCCTCGTTGGCCCAGAGAGCATTTTTTCTTCTTGCCAAATTGTCTTTATAAAAGTGATTTGGAATGTATTCTTAATGAACTTCATTAGACGAGCGAAGGTATGTTGATAAAATTGCTATCAGAAGGGCGACACAGAACGGAAACAATCTATTTTGTCAAAATGTTTTTTGTGACAAAAAGAGTGCCCGAAATATGATCAGATTTAATTAAAAGAGTACCCCGATGCAAAATTAGAAGAGTTCCCAACCGGTTTCTGATAGGCCGATAACAAATTTGCCACTCGCCAATGGCGCGAACCAATATTTCCGTGTTTGGTCGATTTGGGCAAGAAACATACATTCATTCACATGACAAAGTTATCATTGGCAAAATTGTAAGATTGATGAATGAACTCGTTACATTTCCGCCTGATAAGTTTGTATTTTTAGCATTTACTCGTAGAGGAAATGTATGGAACAGGTGAAAGGAAGCGATTTATCTATAATCAGGATCGCTTGTAGAGTCAATTTAGCCAAGTCCGTCTGTCACCTGGCGCTATCTGCAGGCATATTTATTTTGAAATGGGTTACAGACCAACGGGAAACTGATACTCGAAGCACACTCCTGATTTTTTTCCATTCAAGCTTTTTGTTGCTGCTCTTATCCGATATACAGCTACTAAAATCCAGATAATTGCTGATACCACTATTTAAACACATCTCTCAATTTGTAGCACTGTGACATATCTCAACAAATGGCATTTCGAGATAGACGCGTTTATAGTTTTCAAGTGTGATAGCGGTCAAACTTGTAATTTAAATAAAACAAGGAAGAACGCTAAAGCCGAGTGCCTCGACTATCAGATACCCTTTACTTAGTTAAAGGGAGCAAAAAGGAGATGGAAATATACAAGCAGCATCGCAAGATTGCAAAGCGCCACCTACACGCGATTTCAATATATGGAAATGTGGGCGGCAGACAGATATCAGCGTTATAAGCGTCAGAGAAAACAAGTACAAACAGACTTGATTTAAGAAAAATTGCATGCTTAACATTTAAGAACGTTCGTGCTTAAAAAATTCTTATATTGAGCCATTTTTGAATTTTTTAGGTCTGCCAACTCTAATAATTCCCAACTGTTTATTATGAAAGTACTCGGTATACATATAAGGTGCATAAATTAGACATTGTTAATGCCCGTGAGCGACATGTCGTAAGTAAACTTAAAATATTAATATTATTTATATATATCTCGTTTATTTCGTTTCAGTTTCCAATACTTATTTCTCTTAAGGGCATAAAATAAAAACTCACTTTAATTTTATAGTATATATATATTGATTTAAGAATTATTCGTCCTTAAATCATGCCTGCAACTTTGTTATTAAATCGTTCTAGTTTTTAGTCCAAATACGACTTGATTTAAATTTATTCATACTTGATTGAAGACCGAAAAGTTCTTAAATCTAGTATTTTCGTTCTTGAAAATTCGTGCTCAAAAGTAGTATTTTGTTCTCGGGTTCTGTATTTTGTATCGGAATCCTATTTTTTCGCCCTCACAATTCACATTTTTGATCGGTTGCAACCAAATATACCTAGGGCTGCACCCAGATGTTCCTAGGGTTGCACCCCTTACAAAATCGGAATCCTATTTTTTCGCCCTCAAAATTCACTGAATATCGTATTTTAGACCAAAATCGGAATCTATTTTTCGTCCTCAAAATTCACTTTTTGGGTTGCACCTAGATGTATTTAGGGTTGCACCCATATGTACCTAGGGTTGCACCCCTTGCAAAATCGGAATCCTATTTTTTCGCCCTCAAAATTCACTTACAAAAAATGCGAAAATTTGTCAATAAATAAATTTTCCTTAAAGTAATTGGGATCATTAGCAGAGGTAGCAAGCTGTTCAAAACTGTCGGTCTTTTAGCGGTACGCCTTGATTTGACTAAACTACGACTGAAAGACTGGAATGAAAATTGTATTTTTGACTAAAATCTAAATATCGTATTTGACCAAAATCGGAATCCTATCTTTTCGTCCTCAAACGCCTAGGGTTGCACCCAGATATACTAAGGGTTGCACCCAGATGTTCCTAGGGTAGCACCCCTTAAAAAATCGGAATCCTATTTTTTCGTCCTAGGATTGCACCCCTTAAAAAATCGGAGTCCTATTTTTTCGTCCTCAAAATTCACTTTTTTGATGGGTTGCAGATGTACCTAGGGTTGCACCTAGATATATTTAGGGTTGCACTCATATGTACCTAGTGTTGCACCCCTTGCAAAATCGGAATCCTATTTTTTCGCCCTCAAAATTCACTTACAAAAAATGCGAAAATTTTTCAAAAAATAAATTTTTTTTAAAGTAATTGGGATCGTTAGCAGAGGTAGGAAGCTGTTAAAAACTGTCGGTCTTTTAGCGGTACGCCTTGCACCCAGTTGTACCTAGGGTTGCACCCAGATGTGCCTAGGTTTGCACCCCTTACGAAATCGGAATCCTATTTTTTCACCCTCAAAATTCACTGAATATCGTATTTTAGACCAAAATCGGAATCCTATTTTTCGTCCTCAAAATTTACTTTTTGGCTGGGTTGCTTAGGGTTGCACCCACATGTTCCTAGGGTTGCACCCAGATGTACCTAGGGTTGCACCCCTTACAAAATCGGAATCCTATTTTTTCACCCTCAAAATTCACTGAATATCGTATTTTTGACCAAAATCGGAATCCTATTTTTCGTGGGTTGCACCCACATGTTCCTAGGGTTGCACCCAGATGTACCTAGGGTTGCACCCCTTACAAAATCGGAATCCTATTTTTTCGCCCTCAAAATTCACTGAATATCGTATTTTTGACCAAAATCGGAATCCTATTTTTCGTCCTCAAAATTCACTTTTTGGCTGGGTTACTTAGGGTTGCACCCAGATGTACCTAGGGTTGCACACAGATGTACCTAGGGTTGCACCCCTTACAAAATCGGAATCCTATTTTTTCGCCCTCAAAATTCACTGAATATCGTATTTTAGACCAAAATCGGAATCCTATTTTTCGTCCTCAAAATTCACTTTTTGGGTTGCACCTAGATGTATTTAGGGTTGCACCCATATGTACCTAGGGTTGCACCCCTTGCAAAATCGGAATCCTATTTTTTCGCCCTCAAAATTCACTTACAAAAAATGCGAAAATTTGTCAAAAATAAATTTTCCTTAAAGTAATTGGGATCGTTAGCAGAGGTAGCAAGCTGTTAAAAACTGTCGGTCTTTTAGCGGTACGCCTTGCACCCAGTTGTACCTAGGGTTGCACCCAGATGTACCTAGGGTTGCACTCTTGCAAAATCGGAATCCTATTTTTTCGTCCTAGGATTGCACCCCTTACAAACGGTGTTGGGACACCCACGGTCCCAGAGGGTTTCCACTTATTTCAAGCTCTGGTTCACAGCATACAGATAGCTGAAATCTTTATTTAAAATTTAAATGAGTTCACAATTAATCAAATTATTAACTTTTTTTTCTTACACTTGTGGTTTGCCGCTCTTTAACTTCTCATAGCATCATTTTCTTCTTGTTCTTACATTCCTAAGTTTTCCAATACTAACAATATAGAGTGTTGAACAACTTAACAATATTTTTAAACTAACAGACTTTAAATTCAAATAAATCGACTTTTTAAATTGGACAGTTAGCGTGCGGCTAAATCTTCTTATTAGCCTCGCAACAAACGGAATCCTTTTTTTTCGCCCTCAAAATTCACTTTTTTGATGGGTTGCACCCAGATGTTCCTAGGGTTGCACCCCTTACAAGATCGGAATGTTTAACTTTTCGCATTTTTCGCAAAAAAAAACGATGCACCCTTACAAAAAATGCGAAAATTTTAAAAAAATTAATTTACTTAGGAATGGACCCAAATGTTCCTAGGGTTGCACCCCTTACAAAAAATTCTAAAAGTTTTAAAAAAATTAATTTACCTTGGAATGCACCCAAATGTACCTAGGGTTGCACCCAGATGTACCTAGGGTTGCACCCCTTACAAAAAATGCGAAAATTCGTCAAAAATAAATTTTCCTTAAAATAAATTTTCCTTAAAGTAATTGGGATCGCTAGCAGAGGTAGCAGCTGTTCAAAACAGTCGGTCTTTTAGCAGCACGATTTTTTTTCTAGCACTTAAACGATCGTTAAAAAAATGTCACCAAATCTTTAGGGTTCCAAACTAACTCAAAAAGATTTTGGACTTAACAAAAACGAGGTTCGTGTACGTGCTAGTTTTTCTCGACGCCTAGTAGAGAAGTATTTTATTTCCTTACTTTTGTTTTATTATTATTAAAATTAAATTTAAGAACGGTGTTTTCATGAAATCGTGAAAAATGTTCTTGATTTTTTCGTTCTTCTTTTTCTGGGTCAAGTCATTTTTACACAATGCACAACAAACATTTCTGCATCATTAACTCAGACTTATTATCCATTAAATAAACGACTGGTAGTGCCTGTCATAACCTGACGATTTTGGGCAGGCCGGGACAATAGATAGCCAATATGGTTCAGAAATGAGTCAGCTTGGCTGACCTTTATGGATTTTTTTATTCCATCAAAGCATATGGCCGATATTTTGGCATAAACTAAAGCAATACAAGGTCATAACTGTGGTACAACTTGGTGTAATCATACCCCTTAACGTAGCAAAGAAATAACCAGACATATCGGGTGAGTAATATTTAAGTTAAAACTTTTTCAAGTAAACTCATTTTTACTTGCCTATAAGAAAGTTAAAAAGAAATGCACTTAAAAGTATGTAATGTATTAGTAGTACTAGAAAACAGATTACTTAACAGATTCACTTACATCTCGGCACTCGTCGGCCAGGAACTCGATTTCCGTATTGTCAAGTGGCGCCAGACTGCGGAGGAACCCGTCTTCCTCGTAGCCCGGCTTAAAGGGCATCTGGGCATTGGGTCGCTCCTTCAGGAACTTGACGCTCACTGCAAATCCGGCCATATCCACGGGATATTTCCGACCTCCGATCCAGCCATCGTAATAGCCCACCATTTTGCCATCCTTAATTATGGGGCTGCTCACTCCGGTCTTTGTCACCAGGCCAACCGGCCACATGGCTACCTTGGTAGTGTAACGCATCTAGAGAAGGAAAATGAAATTTAAATCAGATCATCTTAAAGATTTTAATTTCAAGACCTTGGGATATAATGCCACACAAATAACTAGGGTTTTGAAATCATATTTAAACGAAATTTTAAGTGTCCAAAAGTAAGCAGTGAATAAGGGTTATTCGTTATATATAATAAATTCCTAGAACTGATAAATATTATTATTATTATTATTATCTAATGCTAACTTATGGTTAAAACTATAAGCTAACAGTGGGTTTATTTTTGAGCTATAGCAGCAAAAGGCCTTTAGCTCGAAAATAAATATAAATTGTATTGTTGCATACTTTTAGACACCTAAAACTACTTTTAAAAGTGATTTATGTGTACCCCTGTACATAGGAACGTTTCTAAGATTTACTTATATAATATTGCCCTTTATTCTGGGAAGAAAGCTACGATAGATATAATTTATTTAAAATAAATTCAAATTGAACCAACCCTTATATAATGCTACAATTTAATTTCATTTGGTTAATATTCTACACAAAAGGTAAAAAGTTAGCTCTGATGTATCCCCATTGAATGGGAACGGGGATGAGAATTGACATCCTTTAACCCCGTAATTCGTGTAAATTGTGCTTTATGTACTCCTGGGTGGGTCAAGGGCCACGTTGCCCGCCCACCTGCTGCTCTGGCTGCTCCTGCCTACCTGCTCGAATATGCTAATGTCGTAGGTGTTGTCGTCGTCGGCAAAGTAGAGCACTCCCTCGGTGGCATGTTGGCGCAGATACTCGAGGCCCCGATTCCGATTGGAGACGCCACGCGGCTTGGCCCTCTTCGTCTGCTTGTACTTCTCGGGCATGGGTGCTACGGAATCGGAAGTGGAAATGGAAGTGGGTGTGATGTAGTGACTCGTAAATATCACTTGAATGTGTCCCGGACATGACATCGCATTCGGGGGGCGGGGGAACCGATACTCACCCACCATGTACTCGTAGGGCACTCCGATCCGGTCCAGAGTGTGGCCCACCAGCGGGTTCGTAGCGTTGGCGTCCTCGATGACCAGCCAGAGCAGGTTCACCACGTGCTTTAAGGTATATCCCAGTCGGGTGAGCTCCGCCAGCTGCTCGGGTCGTCGGTAGGTGGGCGTGATTATGTACAGGGGCGGCTGCGGGTCGAGTTGATTTGAGTTGAGTGTCATTAGGTTATCTAACGCTGTGTACTACGGGGTGTATGTGTGCACTGCACTTGGACTGTTTAGCTGGGTGGTTGGGTGGTTGGGTGGTTGGGCGGCAGGGTGGCTGAGTGCCTCGTTAGGTGCCAGTGGGTGGTGCGTAATGCGGCGTGAGCTTCTTTTTATGAGCAATTATGCAAATTAATTTACAGCCCAATGACTTGACTAGGCGAAAGCGAGCCGGCCACATCCGCCCATTGCCGTAAGTCCGTGTGTCTAGGCTCTGGAGCACCAATATGGGTCGCATTTCGCTAGTCAAAGGCACTGGGGAAAATGGCACACTATTTTTTAAGGTACTTGTGTGAAAATTAAGGTTGCAAATAGTCAAGAGCTCAGTATGCTATTACTTTTTGTAAATAAAAATGGTTGGATATTTTAAAATAATAAAGTAAAATTAATGTACATAACATAATCCTTTTTTGGCCAGTGTTCCCTAAATCCTTCAAGTTTCCTGACTTGGAGTTATTATAAATGTAATGTAATGAATTTGAACCAAATCTCTATTTAAATAATCAAAGTAATACATTTTTCAGAGTGCACTCTCCAACACCCGTTCTAGATATGCTGTGCCTGTGAACTCGTGGCCCATTGAACGACTGACGTTGAAAATAAATAAACTGGCGCACTCACTTTGCAAATTATCCATTGTTGACACACATGCACACCCACAACCCCATCCACATTTACACCCAGCACATGCATGTCGGTGGAAAATTTATTTTAGCAAAATAAACTCAGATATTCCAATGTAAAGAGATAAAAGGGATGAAGTGGTATGGTGGTATGGCATGCAAATTAGCTCAGTTTTCACGATATCAGCTGATTTCATTTAATAGATCTCCTGCACATTGCTCATATTCCATTTTATCAACCAAAACCATTTGAAAGACCATCTAACCGAAACTTAAAATAATGTAGGACATGACATTTTTAAATATTATACTTTTAAAGGTTAGTATTCCTAGAGTTAGGATAGTTAAGGGATTATAAACTTATAATGAGTAAATTATAGCATACATATTTGGACCCATATATTATCATAAGATCGCTTGAGGTATCCCTAAAACCCCTTATCAGTTCGAAAACATATGTACCATGAGCAGAACCTTCAGTACGCCTTTTAAACTAATAAGATTGACCGTTGACATTGAGTGCAGGGCATTGGAATCGCTGTTAGTGGATGCAACTACTAAATGACAGAAACCAACAAATGCGCGTGAATCTTTTCAATTGGCTTGCATTTTGTGTTTTGCATAAATCTGGAATCTAGATCAGTAACCATCCCCTTTTCAGTGGTCGCTTTCAATGCTGGAAATTTTTCTCTATAGGTATTTTTTCCCCAGTTGCAGCTGGATGCGGTTTTGGGTTTTCGGTTTTGTGTGCGCACTGGAGCAATTTGCAAATTAGGCTCATGCCAAGTGGTGAATGGGAATCTTTTTGTTTGCCACCAGTTGCAGGGGCACGCCGGCAGTTAGCAGGGCTTGTTGGTTAATATAATGCATGTGATTAACCCAGAAATCGTGATACAGATAGCCGGCCACCAATTTGCACATGGTGGCCAACAAAAGTTGGTTAGATAAACAGCGCCATTTGTGCGGGTCATCGTCGCTTTGTGTTGCTTGCAATGTGAACTTGGTTGGTAATATATTCCTATATTCCCATTTAGGGTTTTAATGAGACCATAATTAGCGTGCGAGTGGCAAAGTTGGTTGGGTGAATGTAGAACACATTTGTCAGCTTGTTTGTTCTGGTTTCCGCTTAATTTAAATAAATGCGGCATTATGTTTGTCCAGTTTAGGCCAGAAAAAGTAATAAGTACGATACATCATAGCTTCAACAAACATATAAATGAGTTTTACATCACCATTATACGACAACCTTTTAAATAACTTAATTTATTTTGAATAATAATTGTTAAAACTATTTCTTGCTAGTGTTATTTTTAACTTTAAACCAACCATGTGCCTTATGTTTAGTACAGTAATGACTAGTATGCAACGCATTTGCGAGTGGCAAATGGCAATTAAGAAAATGGAAAAACGGGGTGAGGAAAAGCGATAAGCGAGCAAACCAGCAGGTTGCTGCGAGTATTGATAGGGCAACAAGTGCGACATCCAGTTATCGAATAATGACAGGCAGCCAGACACACAAACACTGGACAACACAGAAACACTTTGTACAGACATGCACACGACAAGTGAAATAATGAAAATAAAATGCAGATAAGCTCGAAATGCACTTCCGAAGATTAAAACAGAATAAGTGAAATGCGGGAGAAACGAGAGTTTAATAAGTTTGGTTAACTGTGGGTGTTGCGAACTTGGGGCCACTGAGAGGAAACGTATACCCAAAATCAAGAACAATATTATCGATTTCTTATCTACACTGTTACATTGTTCTAAAATAAATATTGATTTTTAAAAACATACTCGAATTAATAGAGGTTTTACGCTTTTAACTGAGTTATATAAGAGATTTAGACGCTTTAAGTGAACACAAGTTATAAGAGGTTTTTACTATATTATTGGTTAATAAATATCAAAAATGTTTTAAATTGGGGGTTCGAAAAACAACGCAGGGATGTACAATTTTTTAAATTATTTTTCAAATTTTAAGAAATTTTTTTTGAGTACAATTTTTGTCAGTGTAAATTTTACTTTTAGATAATATTTAAATGTTTTTGGATGTTTTAAAAACATACTAGAATTAAATATTTATACTTATTTAAAATCTAGAAAAGTCTTAAATTGGTTTTATAATTTGTGCTGTGGGATTTAAGATTATTTTTTAAACACCGCAGATAAGATAATTTGCTTGACTTTAGTAAGGTATTTTCTCAGTGTATTCCAGGTAAGGGGGAAGTGCTGGGCTAGGATTATGATTATATCAAAATATTTACGGGCTCGGATGCGGCAACAAATGTTGTTCGAGTCTTATGGGCGTTTTCCTTGTGGGAGGCAGTGGGCGTGGCCGCCGCGGATGTTTTGGCGCTTGTTTTGGCTGTTGTTGTTGTCGTTGTTGCCAGCCCACTGGCTGTGGCTATGGTTGTTGTGGTTGTGCTGGTTGAGGTGCTTGAGGTCCTAATGCCCGCAGTATTTCGATGGCCACCCACCGATCCCGATCTTAGTTGCGATGACGAAGACATAAATGTGGGTGTGGTGGCCGCTAATGAAACCATGCGAATGGAGGCGGAGGATGCACCCAGCTTTTGGCCCACTGTGCCAGCTGCTGTTGTTGTTGTTGTGGTTGGAGCTGTTGTTGTGCTTGTTGTTGTGCTTGTTGTTGTGGATGGGTTAATAGTGTTGGAGGAACTATTGGCCATTAGCAGGGAAATGGGTGACCACAAATATGAGGCGATATATGACGATGATTTCTCTTGATGCTAAAGATTAGTCGGCAACGATGGTGTTATTAAAGGGTTTAGAGGAAATAGAACAAGAACACATGGAAAACATTACAATAGTATTTATTCTAGTTAATTCTAATATTAGAAGGCTAGAGATAAAGGGTTTTGTTAGGTGATTTTGGGATGCCAGTCAGGTTAAGCTTTATTATTTGGTTTATTTTATTTCAAGCACGTATAACTCCAATTATAACCCTCATCTTAGCACCATAACTTAGCACCTGCGGTATTACTTCGTGCTTATAGCTCTTTACGTTGCTATCTGTTTTTTATTGGAGTCAGCAACAAGTAACATATGGTACATAAACTGTACAGATGTACTTTTTTATTGTTTCCTGTTTTTGCACATGATTCTCTAGGTTTTCCCAAATATGACAAAGCTTTGTTATCTTAATGGATAACGCTTCGTATAACTTATTCACATATTTTTGGTACTTTTCATAAAGATAAGAAAGAAATCATTATCTATTCACACGCTGTATGTGTAGTCTAAAATTTAACTAATAGATACCATTAAAAAGCCTTCGATTTTGGAAGCGAGATATGCGATATTAATTAAATATTATTTGGGCGTCGAAAAATTTCCAAGAATTTCGATTTCATTAATTATATTAAAGCGACACACTTTTTTTCGCTTGCCGAGGTTAGATAAGATTATTAAATTAGTGAATCCCCCTTGACACCGGTACAGTGAAACAGAAATTATGGCGCATGTGGTGAAATATGTTATTTTGATTAGTAGGGTGCATTAGGAAAAGGACAAATGTTAACAAAAAAAATTCATATAAGTAATAGGGAGCAAAATCTAATTTTTCTACATTTTTTTTCAAAATTATTCGAGACATCATGCTATTATACCATCATCTTTTTCATATTTAAAAAAATATACCATATATGGTATTCCTATTTGTTCTAGATTTTTTTTACTATTATTTGAGATGTCATGCTATAATGCACCCTACCTTTTTTTTCTTATTTTGTATACCAAAATGTTTGATCTATTTTCTCCCAGTGCATTTGCAGACTCACCTTGACGACGTCACTGGCGGCGAAGGGCTCTTGGGATATGTGGTACTGATAGAGAGCCATGTAAATGCAGGTGGTCAGAATGAAAATGGTCAGGTACATTTTGATGGATTTGCCCAGGGACATCTTGCCGCTGCCGTGGCCACTGGCATTGATCCCACTGTACATGGTGAGATGGGTGTAGTTGCCCTTCATCCTAGTCGCCGTATCCGTTTCCGGTTGCCCCAGAGTTCCAAAACAACCGCTGTTGCACTTGCAATATATATTGTGATGATTTCTTTCGTGTTGGCCGCGTCACTCTACGTTGGTTTTTTGATTTCATTCGTTCGCTTTCGAATTTTATATTATTTAGCTCTGGCCTTTTATTTTTTCGTCAACTCTGCTGTTTCGCTGCCTTTGCGGTTTTGATTTATTTTATTTCATTCCATTTACTGGCTTTCCGATTTCTGAGCCGAGCGGAAGGGGCGGGACGGAGGCGGGGCGGGACGGCCGGCGATAGGGCGTGTATCTCGGTACGCAACGAGTTCTGAAATTGTATGGTTATTATGTGTTTTCTGCTTTTATCACACTTGCGGCCTCTATGTGTCCATATGGGTTCATATACTAGGCAGCGATATCAGTTTGGTGAATGGTTTGCTTGTTTTACATATTTGGTTGATAGTAAAACTTAGACTTACAATTTATACAACTATTCGGGGCATCGGAAACCTAAAAAGAATGTAGAAAAAAATGCGAATTTAGTATGGTGAATAAATTGCTTAAAAAACTTATCTTTACTGTGCAAAAAGCAACAAAATTGACTATTGCTTATCAGTTATCTTTGTATAAACCAAAAATAGGAGTACACATTATTGCACTAGCTATAGCTACATATCCATCAATCTTGATTTTTTGCTTGACGCAATCGAATTTTTGTTGATAAAATACTTATTTGTGATCAATCAAAGATAAAATATAATTTGTTTTTGCTGAAACCACCGATATCGTATGCTAACTTAAAAACAGAGCTTAATTTTATATTAAACTAATTTTTTTCAAAATGTTTAGGTCGTTACTCTGAGCTATTCAGGATTTAATTGAATAATGCATATGCTTTTACTGGATTTTTATATTATTTGATTATAATGCAATTTGCGAATTATATCGCATTAAACGGTTTTGATTAGAATCTTAGAAAAGCTTACAGGCCTGTAGGCCAATAGAAATAAACGTAAGCCCTTACGCATTATATTGTCAAATGGCAATAAATCTAGAATGGTTCGGAAATGAAACGCTTATAAATAAACTCTAAGTCTTTTCTAACATTGGTGGCTTAGCGTGATAATGTTTTTATAAACTACATATCAATTATTATCATTGAAATCATTTAACCTACACAACGTTTTAAAGGGAAAGGGCGGTTTCCTCAAAAAGCTTCCTAACCAAGACCCCAATTCGCTCATACTCAAGATATCTATTATATATTAGGACTATCTGTTTAATAGGTTGCACTTTCCGCTGCAGTTCGGCTAATCACTTGTGCTTAAAGCAACGACCTCCTAACCGCGTCGACTACACTTTCCACTCTCCCATTGTAATTTGCGCAAAGTTGTTAACAACTGCCTGGGGAAATAAGAACAAGGGAAAGGGGTCTATCAGCTGGTAACGGAAGTTGTTTTCCCCAGACCCAGACCCATACACATATATACAATTATATAGCACGTTTACGCTTGTGGTACTGGCGATTCTTACAGACTTTTCCAATTATGATGGGGCGCGGCTGTTGGGTCTCGCGTGTTGAAGCGTTTTAAAAACCATTTTCGCCGGTGTTGCCGCTGTTTTGATATGAAAGTTCAATGGCCAATTTGAAATGTGCTGCGCTTTGCATGATTTCAACAAAGTTGGGCGCCGTTTTGTTCTTCGCTTTAGTTTAATTTCGTTTTGTTCTGGGTTTTGTTTTGTATTCATTTCCATCTGCATGCAATTAAAGTGCAGCCGCGGTTACGGAAGTCATTTTGCTAGCCCTGTTGTTAGGCGATTCTCTACAGTTTAAGCGATTATCTTTGGGATACTATTTTAAATGGTTGAATTATATCATGATCACATATCAGGCATTTAGTGCATTTCATGTTAAACAATTCGCAGAGGGTATAATATAAATAAAAGCATCACAGCAGATAAGATACGTTAATTTATCAAGAACAGTCTGTCAATCTTGACATCTGTTGTTTTTATCTTTAGATACGTGTACAACACGCCAATAAGTGATACAAGATTTTATGAGATGAAGTAAGTGCCTAGACAGTCTTAGGTGTAATTGCATTATAGATGTCACCCAGATTACCAACCCAAGATATGGTTGTTTGAGTTCTTATCATTGCTAATGCTTATATTTAGATTGTCAAGTGCTAGAATATGGTGCTATAAATTTATGTTGACATACAAAAACACATTTTTGAGAGATTTCTGACTCATCAAGATTGAAGTGCCCGATTGTCAACATCCTCGATAGTATAGTGGTTAGTATCCCCGCCTGTCACGCGGGAGACCGGGGTTCAATTCCCCGTCGGGGAGATGTTTCTTTTTTTTTTAATACTGCAGTGAGAAGACAATTTCGACTCTATAAAATTTATATTTCTAGTGTGACCTGTTTTAGATATCATAGATACGAATTCTGTTTTATAAACATCGGACTACTATATCTGCCATAGGAAAGATCGAAAAATGTGTTCAAAAATAGACGAAGGTCCGCATATATACGGTTAAATATATTTATTACCTTAGTTCCATGATAACAAATTAAGATACCTATTTTGTGCTTAATCCAAAATACTTGTGTATCTTGAGAAATATTCCTAATCAAATTTAAATCCATTAGCAGGAATAAATATAGGAATTTGAATGCAAGTAAATTGTATTATGCTAGTTTTCAATTCCCCTGCAATAAATTTAAATTCCTGGCTCAAAGGCCTGACCAAAGCAGACCAAAGCACAAAATGCAATTATCCACAAATACTGCAAATCTCTTTATGCCCGTTGGCAGAGTTTTCAGACATGGCTCGGCTTTGGTTTTAATGAATAAACGGGATGACCGAGCTGCGGAGCAGGATGTGCAGCAGGATCATGAACTGTGGCCGGTCGCCCGGAAATGGGAAATCATTTTGAAAAAACGTCAAAGCAAGTGCACAAATGAAAAATCTGGGCGAGAACAATTTAATGTCAGAACTTAACCCATTTACATGACAATTCCAGCACACCGAGGCCAACAAATAAAGCCGCAACGAAAAAGGAAACAACTGCAAATATATGTTGCCCGGCCAGACGGGAGGCCCATCAAACGGGCATGGCTGGGTGCACTGTGCAAAATTACTAACCAAAGAGATTATCAATTAAACCTATCTTCATTTTAGAACATTACTAACAAAATTTTAGAGTTTCAACATGTAGGAGTTTGAACATCCTATAATCGTATCAGTATACTGATACTAAAGTATCGCAGCATCGCCAAAAAATTAATATTTTTATATCACTATAAGATTCAATGTATTTGATCTTTGATACCTATTTGGTAAATACATTTTGTAAATAAAATAAGTTTCTAAAATAAGTATTAGTTTCTCTTGATCTAAAGATTTATTGGTAACATTTTATTAAGAATTGATGTAAGTTAAAACCATGGTTTAGGATTATGGTTAAACAAACGATAATATTGAAAACATCGACAAAAAACTTAAGAATTAGTAGGTAAAAATAATTTCATCAAGAAGAACATAAATAAATTTGCAAATCTTTAACTCTCTTAGATTGCTATTGAATAAATAAATTTGATATATGATATATGTTATGATATATTTAAACAATTAACTTCAAGAGACTATGATAAATTCTTCCCCTGTAGCGTTGGGTGGGAGGTACAGAATAAAAACAAAATACCACACAAGTGGGTGCCAAGTGCTGACAGAGGAAAACCCGGAAAATGGAGGCGGGGTCGTCGAGCGGGTCGTCGCTGGAGTGGAAATGGAACACTCTGCCATTGCCAGGGTTATGGAGAGCGGCGTCGAGGAGCTGCACCGAGCACCAGGCTCTCGAGCACCCGGATGCCATTCGAGAGCGGTGCCAGGCCATGTCCTTGAATGGACGCAAACACCCACCCTTCCGCCCACCCATTCATACACCCACCCACACACAGTGGGCGGCACAGTGGGTGGCGAGGGCTCAAACACGGCGGGGCACAAATGTCAGAGTGCAATATCACAATATTTTTCTTTATGTAATGTCTGAACTAAAGATGGTGCCATTTGTCACGTATCGCTGTCAACTCCTCCTCATCCACCCTGAATTATAGCAGAACATGTTGATAAACATGTTCTCGGTCATTATAAACAGTTTGCCTTATTAAATTAATGAAAGCAACGACTTGGAAAAGAGGTTCATGAATGATGACAGCCAGAAATACTGGAACAGTATGTATAAAAAGGAAAAATCAACGGCATTTAAAAAGAAATTAAACAAGAAAGAAAGATAAATTCGGCAAGTCGAAGTTGCTATACCCTTGCAGATCATTTCCGTGAAAGCATTCAAGGTACAGAGCTTTACGTTTTTTAAAAAACGAAAAACTAAATAAACCAAAACATTCTTTTTAAAATGTTCCATTTCAATTAACCCCAATATGTTTACCGAAAACGACATATAAATTTCTTTGTATTATTTTGACATTAACTATCCGATCGTTCCTATAGCAGCTATATGATAAAGTTGTAAGATTTTTTTTACTTTTATTCGAAATTCTTAAGTATTAAAATAATGCTATTTTCAAGAGTAGAAGTTAATATGTCAAACAACAATAAAGTTCCGACTTATAATAGAAACAAGACTTTTGGGAAGGATTTATTCCGATAGCTTTGAAACTGAGAGATTAGTTTGCGTAGAAACGGACGGATGCTGCTGACCAAGAATTTATATACTTTGTGGGGTCGTAAACGTCTCATTCACTGCGTTGCAAACTTCTGACTAAAATCATTATACGCTCTGCCAGGGTATAAAAAATCATTTATGTATAATGAGTTTTTAATAAGTAAAGGAACAGGTTACTTATTTATTTTAAAAAAAGGTTAAAAATAAAGTTTAAAGAGATATACTAGCCCACGATTAAGGATAACTTTAGTTTGAAAATACGATTTTAGCATCCCACAAAGCACTTTATAATTAAAGTGAAAACATGCTATGAACAACCATTCACGAATTTTTGCGGCGTGGCGGAATTCAAAGTGCTTTTTGAATGCTCGTTTTGCGGCAAGGACATTTAGAAGTTATTTGGAAATGGCAGTGCCTCTCCTTCATTTCTATTTTCTATCTCGTGCCATTCAATTTCGGTTTATTTCGGCCATAAGCGTCAAATGAAATGTCCCACTGTGGCGAGCCATCAAAATGACGCAGGCATCGCCATTTCTCTTTTTGCATCATTGTGTTGGTAATGGAGAGAGTGTATGTGTGTGCGTGTCTGTGTGTGTGTTTGGTTGTGGCAAAAACAATTGCATAACACCAGGGGCAAGTGCATTGTGGAGCCGTGTTGACTGACCAGCTATTCACACCATTTTGTTTGGAATGCCAAATTTAATATATTTCCCAGCACCTTTTTTAATAGTTTAGTAGTGAAATTTCATTTTGAAGATAAATGCATGGCATTTTATCATATATATTATCATATTATATTAAAATAAAAGAAAAAC